TTCCGGTCTGATTTTAAAACATTGACGCAGCATGTGCACATCTATTGTGAAATAGTGCAAGTAGGAGGAAATAAAAACATCACTTGGTTTTCCTCAGTCTTCAGAAGTGAATAATTTTAACTCCATTATGCTCAATGTTGCTTTTAAAAGGCTACTAGACTATCCTAACTTTACTCTGGGGAACCTATTTCTTTTCCTTTTCCAAAATTCTTATGGAATCTAAAACCAAATATTTGCTATGGAGTGCCAGGTTGGTACAAAGAATGCTTTTTCACATAGTCACATTTTCATCGGGATAACAAACTATATGTTTTTCCCAATTGTATTATAACTTGTGGCCATATGACAATTTCTGCCTGTTGCTGGGTAATCGGAAAATGATTTGACGGGGAGAATACACAATAACTTTCTTGGTGTGGTTACTTTTATAAGCTTGTGACTATTTGGTTAAAAAAAATCTTATTTGCTTGCATGCATTACATATATTTCTAAAACAAGACTGAGTGAAGTACGCAATACAGTCATCAAGTACTGGATTGTAGCAGTCCAGATTCCTTTTGTCATTCTGTATGGTAGTGAATATAGTAAGGTATTATAGTGTTTTTGAAATGTCAGTTTCTATTAAGAATACTCTTGAAGTATTTTTTTTTTTCCTTTGGGAAGCAAGAATTATTGTAGACCCTGCATACCCTAAATGCATTGGTGACAATTCTGCTAATCACTGCCATAGTATTAAAGTAACGCTCGCACTATGTTTTAGTGGTAGTGTTACAGTTTCCTCTTTAAACATTTTGTGTTGTAAACTTAATTTTATAGTTTGAGGGTTTACAACAGTGTTATCCTTTTCCTATCCCTCTTTCCTCCCTCCTTTTCATTGTGTGCACTGATAATTAAAGAGCACAGGCCATCTAGACTAATTAGATCAAATTTTTATTTCTTGTCTCTTAATTAAATTGAAAGACATTAAAGCCGACGGGGGAAGATCTCATCTAGTTGTCAGGAAACAGAGAAGGGAACAAAGCTCAGCTTCCAGTACTAAATGGCATTGTTCATCGGGGGATGTGAAAACAGGGAAGTTTCAGTTATGTTTTTTAAAAGGGTTTACATTTTTCAGCAGTTTACATTGGCATGGTGGAATTTCTTAAGCTGCATCACCTCAGCCCTTGGGACACTGGCACTTTCAATGCTGATAACTAAATGAACACATACAGGAATGTTTCTGTACATGTGTTGTTCTTTGTCAGGAGAGAAAGCTATAGTTAAGATTGTGTGAAAATCTCCGTTATCTCCTTTTTCTATATGTTTGAAACTTCCCAAAAAGTTCTCCCATTTTTTCTGAAATTTAATACTTGGTCTTAGCCAAACGTGACTTTTTTCCCCCCTGGAAATGAATGAGAAAAATCAGTCCCTTTTTTGGTTAGGCGATTGTTGCAGGGAGAAAAAGTAAAAAATCTTTATTTGTTCCTGCTAAACTCAAATGTCTGAACTTCATAAGTTTAAACTTTCCAGGTGACTAGTGCTTGCTGAGGGCACATCAGTCTTCAAGCTACCTTACTACTGAAATATTTCAAGCGTAATATAGTATTTCCTCTAAGGTTAGTTACGGTATTAGTTGCAGGACTGTCGATTTAAGTAAATACATAGTACTGGAGATTGTAGTGCCTTAAAGGCTAAGGCTGAATTTAGCTTTGTTCCTCTTCCCCTCCATATGTAGTAGCTGTTACTTATTGGTAACAATCTCTTTGTAGATGGAAGGCATCCCACCAACCAACTGGGCATTTATAACTGAAGTATTTAGTGAGAGTGGGAATCAGGGCTGCTGTTGTAATTGGGAAAATTTTTCCCTTGGCTTTCTGATAGTAAAGGTGGCATATCCAAAGAATTGTGCCCATAGTGATTAGAGCATCAGATTTCGTGAATATGTTAAACAGTAGGAACATAGGTTCCTAATAAAGGGAGCCTCATGAAATTATACTTGTGGGAGTTATTCTCAGTCTTAAGCACAGCTTCTTCTACAGCATCTAGCACTAGTCTGTGATGGGACACTGAGTTATGTGGGCCATTTGTCTAATCAGAATGGCAATTCATATGTTTGTCAATTAATTACATTATCTTAGAAGAGGTAATAGTGCTACATGGTTCTGAACAGTCCGTAGGTCTGCAATGTGAAGACGAGAGGCATATTTACATGAGCACTTGCTGTGTGGCAAGCTGGGATGTAAATGTACAGTGTTCCAGCATGGTGTGCACTAACTGCCCTTGGGTACCCTGCTAATATGCACCAGAAGTTCTCAAGTGTGCTTCAGCAGGGTTCCCATGGAGAGTGCACAGTATGCTGGAGCACTGTTGATTTACACCCTAGCTTGGCATGCGTGTGCTTGTGTAGATGTGCCATAGGAATCTGTGCTAGTTCAACAATATGGAAAGTGGTGTCCATCATAACTTGCAATATGGCATTGTTCCGTGAGATAACTGCTGTGAGAAGAAGGTTGAATTTGGATTGCTCGCCCTAGGCAAATGTCAGAATTTATTGTAAGAATAATTTTGAAGTCATATATGTTAGCCATACATGACATGTTAAAGTCTGGAAATTCTGTTCAGAAAGTAAAAAATCTTTTTGGTTTACACAGGCCCCATATAGAGTATACTGAGCGAACCAGCACTTTGAGCTTTCTCAGCACATCAGCTGCATACAAATCAATTGCTTATTGTCAGTTTCTACAACTTGTATTCCAGTGCTTTCTCTGGATAACTGTTCAAAATTCGAGTTGGATATTTCAAATGAAATCTGCAAGATGTAAATCATGATACATCTCTTGGACATTCTTGGGTCACTTCGATTTTTCCTGGCAATGATGTCTCATATCTTGGAATTTTCAGGGAACTTGTGAGAAAAGCTGACGAGAATAAATACTTGTACTTTTTCCATTTCACAAACTTCCTGTATCCCCCCTCCTTGCTATTTGGAATTACATTTTTCCTCTTTCTCAATTCCACGAACTGTATCAGAAGACATTGTGGTCCTGGCTTGACAAGAACTTCAGAGCCTATACACAGAGTACTGCTTGGTTTGGTAGCTGCACAAGTTTTTACCCGTGTCTTTCTGGAGTCTTAGAATGACATAGAAATTTAAACTCCTTGTAGATTTATTCTGATTCATCCATTTTCCTGGAAAAATAGTTTGCTTTGCTTGATACAGTATTATAATGACAAATCTACACAGTTAAGGTTTGTGTGTGGCATTTACCTGTGGCATTTCAGGAAAAAGTGGAGAATTTTGCCATTTTTAAAATATTTTACTCATATGCTAATCTGTTTTTACATGTTAAGATAATTGAAAGAAAGGGTGGTTCCAGAGGAATTATAAAAGCCTGTTCTTGAAGAAAAGAAAACAGCTTCTTTTAGCTGAAACTTAGAGACACATTAAGATAGTGCTGCACAAGGGACTGTCAAGTGGCCTTTGCCTTTCATTGTAATGCTGTGATTTACTCTCTGAATAAACATATTTGTTTCCATCTGGGTGCTAATGAATATTTTTTTTAAGTAAATTGTTTTTTTCTATAAAGAAATTAATGGCTGATGGGTTACCGTATACCTGTGAATTAAGTTGGAAAAAAACACTATCTATTTTTTTAGCGTGTTTGTTTTTTATTGTTAAAAAGGCTCTGGACTCTTTACATATGTTCTTTCTTTTTAGGCAGCCTTGTACTATAAAATTTCATTTGTAGCCATGATGGATTCAGGGAAGGTAGTTGAATCCATACTGTTTTACCACTGAAAGTATTTCAAACACTTGCCCTTTTGAAAGGAATACTGCCAAGGTTTTCAAACCCCAAATTTAACTTGTTTTAAAGTATAATTTCATGAAATTGTCTAATTTTAAGCATATATTTTGAGAATTGTAGTGGTGATGTTTTATTGTCTTACCCTCTGCTGGCTGGACAACAGTAGTTAACACAAGCACTGTTTCTAGAGCTGTTGTGACATCAATAGTGTTTGGAAAGAACAAGACAGTGCTGTTTTGGTATGATAGGGAACTTCATGATGTATTAAACAGCAGCAGTCATGTTTGTTTCATCTCCACTTGAAAAACAGAAAAGGGGATGATTAATAGGGCTGAAATCTTGCATGTTAAGAAGACATTACAAATTTGAAAGTTTTAAAAATGAGAGAAACATCTGTGTCCTTTCAGTGTAAGTGCAGAACTGAACTAGAAGGCATCATAACATATATATATATATATATATATATATATATATATAATCATAGAATATCAGGGTTGGAAGGGACCCCAGAAGGTCATCTAGTCCAACCCCCTGCTCGAAGCAGGACCAATTCCCAGTTAAATCATCCCAGCCAGGGCTTTGTCAAGCCTGACCTTAAAAGCCTCTAAGGAAGGAGATTCTACCACCTCCCTAGGTAACGCATTCCAGTGTTTCACCACCCTCATAGTGAAAAAGTTTTTCCTAATATCCAATCTAAACCTCCCCCACTGCAACTTGAGGCCATTACTCCTCGTTCTGTCATCTGCTACCATTGAGAACAGTCTAGAGCCATCCTCTTTGGAACCCCCTTTCAGGTAGTTGAAAGCAGCTATCAAATCCCCCCTCATTCTTCTCTTCTGCAGACTAAACAATCCCAGCTCCCTCAGCCTCTCCTCATAAGTCATATATGCCTGTTGTTTTTTAATATGAATGCAGATGTGTAAGTTTATTGTTCGTTGTCCACATAGCACTGATAAATGTCCAGAGATGCACTGCTTCCACTGATTCGCTCTGCTAAAGCTGTACACAAATTAGAACACAGTCCAGTTGTGTTGCATTGCATTTGCTAGGGAAAACTTTGAATGTGGAATGCTGTAATGGAATAACCACTGAGTGCAGACCTGTCTGACCAGCCACTTCCTTAGGGGCTTACACTCCATAATTGCCTGCTGTTACTTGAGCCTTTGCTTGGCATCATGTTAATTGTAAACATTTCTTTTTCTTTCTTTCTTTCAGTCTGTATGACTAATTGTCCTACACTGATTGTCATGGTGGGCCTCCCAGCCAGAGGGAAAACATACATCTCCAAGAAACTGACACGCTACTTAAACTGGATTGGAGTGCCTACAAAAGGTTCTGTTCTGCTTTCGTTTACATCACAAGGTTTCTTTTGGGACTGTTAGCTTTTTTAATATATTTCCTTGTTGTTTCTTCTTAAACTCTTGTCAATGTCCTTCAGTCAGTGTATATTTACTATCTTTATTCCATTTAAATTTCATTCTGTATATCAGCTGTCTTGTCTGATCAGTTTTTACCTTTTTCTAGACTGATTCCTGAATGAACTCTCTGCATTTATCTTCCATGTATTCACTCTTACAGTTGACTAACTTGTTTTGGTATCTGAGAAGAGATCTTGTTTATTGGAGGTATGCGGTCTGAATTAGCACTCCTGGAATCAGTTGATAACTTCACCATTGCCTTCCTATGTGACCTTTGAGCAAATCCCTGAACTTCTCTATGCTACTCTTTATCTTTATTACATAAAATGGATGTAATAGTATCTATTTCATTGTTGCTTACTGGGTAATGTTGGTAGAGCACTTAGAGAGCCCTGATTAAGGCACAAAGTTAAAAAAAAAAAAGTAATAGTTTATTTGTGGAGTGGGCAGGGACTCTGAATCTTTAGAGATGACTAAACATCTAAAGGTTTCAGAGTAGCAGCCGTGTTAGTCTGTATTCGCAAAAAGAAAAGAAGTACTTCTGGCACCTTAGAGACTAACCAATTTATCTGAGCATAAGCTTTCAGATGAAGTGAGCTGTCGCTCACGAAAGGTTATGCTCAAATAAATTGGTTAGTCTCTAAGGTGCCACAAGTACTCCTTTTCTTTTAAACATCTAAAGTTTGGAAGACTTAACCAACCCATTACTAAGTGTGAAGACTCAGTACGTTACTACAGTAATGGGGGCGATATGCATACTGTAGATATCTACCTGTAACACAGGTAGACAGCATAGCCAATGTGAAAGGTTAAACTTCTGACTGCGTATATTGAGATCAGACACTCATTCTTAACTGCTTTTGAAGGAAAAAAATGAAATATGGAAAATGTGTTCTGGGATGTATTTAGACTGCCATTTGACTTTGTCAGAACCTTCCTATTAAGTTTAGGATTGGGCTTTTAAAATAATTATTTATAATTTTATAAATCTCTAACATTATTTGCATTGGGTAGATGATTATGGAGATGCATGTAGCTTATTGGTAGTTGATAGATGCTCAGTGTTCTTGTGGAACAATTGGGTGTATATATAATATTTCCAAAATATTGTTGTCAGTTCTGACACCAGTGTCCTCTCTGATGAGTGGTAGCAAAAATCCAGGGCCTTGCAGTTTGTTTTCTAGTGAAGGAGAAATCACTGATTCAGATTCAGGGTACCCTTTAAAGTGTAACCTGCTTTTTTTATACACCTGCTTCAGTCATGAAATGAGACAGTCATGCAGGCCATTGCCTTCCTACAGGAAACTCAGGCCATCACTGCTGCCTAGTCCTCAGGGAGGAGCTCTATGTCAAGAAATGTTCCAAATCAGAGCCCAAGGCAGAGAGAAAACTCTCCTGCTGCTCACGCAGTCGTCCCCCCCCCCCCTCCCCCCCCGCATCGCCCCTGGAAGCTGCTTCGAACCAAAATTAACATCCCCACACAGTCACAACTTGACTTTCAGGAGTCAAAACTTGCTTGCACATTAAGAAAAATAACTTAGAAGACTGTGTAACAGAGCCAGCTGGTGACATCTCCTATTCAAATGATGGGGCAAATTTAACCATTACAGTGACTTTTTAAAACAAAACTTTTTATTTAAAATAAAGTATCTAAGTGTAATATGCTTTTAAATTCAGCAAGCTATTATAGTAGCCAGGATTCCTCTGCTGCCTTTTCATGCGTATTGGGGATGGTTATTGAGCTCAAAGAGGTAAATACTACACGCTCAACTTTGAGAAGCAAAAGTCCTATGTTGGACAATACATAAGACACTGTCCATGTCCAAGACTGGGGGAGTAGATTGTGGGTCTCATCCACAGGCGCTGGCTTCCAGTTGTCCCGGGGGGTGTTCAACCCTAGCTCAGCCCCAGGCTCCGCCCCCACTCCACCCCTTCTGCAAGTCCCTGCCCCATCCCCGCCCCTGCTCCACCTCTTCCCCCAGTGCCACACCCCGCCCCTCCTCTTCCCAACCTGCCTCTTCCTGTCCCAATCCCTGCTCCTCCCTCTCCCTCCCAGCGCCTCCTGCATGCCACGGAGCTGTTCTGTGGTGTGCAGGAGGCCCTGGGAGGGAGGGGAAGGAGTTGATTAGCAGGGCTGCTGGTGGGCAGGAGGCACTGCGGAGGGGAAAAGGGGAGGTTGGCTTATCAGTTGCAGTAGACAGGGATGATTGGCTTGAACTGTGGTAAAAGTTCCACAGACTATCTTAAGTAACAGGTCTGTAAATTTAAATGTTTGTGTTTTAAAACTTAGAATTTTAAAATGAACTGGATATTCAGGAAGGGAATCCCTCTGTATCATCTCCATTACAAACCTTGCACCTTGTATGGTTCAATTGCTATTTCTAATTCCTGCCTAGACCGTCAGTGAGGGTTGTCCTGATAATGGCTGCTGGGGATTTACAGTCATATGACCTGTAGTCTAGTCCTCCTTGCTGCTGTTGGAAAATATATCTTGCATTTAATCTTTAGCTTCAGAGTGAACAACTTGTTATTTTGTCATCACGAATGCAATTTCTTCAGAGCTGAATCAGTTTAAAATACCTTTCCTCTGATCAAGTAGATAGCTCATGCGTTGTCTATCACTCTGTTGTCGTAAGCTAACTTGATGGATGATCTTTGTGTAATAAATGTCTGGTCTTGTACTCTCTTTCACTCTGAGGTTTCTTAATGTCATTTAAAAATAACAGAATGTACTCAGTATAGTAAGATTTTATAGCCTTTAATGTGGGTATTAAAATTATTAGATTATCAAAAATCCAGAGGTCAGATGAGTGGTATCTTCTCACGTAGCTCATGCTGAATGAAATAAAGGATCTAAGAACATTGAGTCAATTAGCCTGAGGCTCCCACAATGAGAATTATTTAAAAAATAATTAGACACTTGCTTTTATCCTTTCTGATCAAATCAAATCCAAGTAGCCTAAGGGAGCTAAGTGCTCAAATTCAAATGAATTTCAGTGAGATCTGGGTATTCTGCTTCCTTAGGCTCCTTTGGATAATCCCAAACTATGTACCACATTTGGACCACAAGGTGCTAAATTAAATTGGGTTTCTTCAGTGAGATTTCTGTATTGAATAGATACTAATAAGGAAAACGGTGCCCTAGGGAGAAGCAATATAGAATCTTTTTTCTTTTAGAAAGAATTTCATGTATGGCTAATTTTGCAAACTGTACTTTTCAGTAGTCCTTAATTTTAAAGGGCTTTGACATGAAGAAAAGGTCTGTTTCTTAAAAAATAATCATTCTCAAAGTTCTTTTCCCTCTTCTGCATATTCTTCTCTTGGGTTCTTAAACCATGACTTGTTTGTGTGGAAATTGATACCACTCAGGACATAGATGCCATTCAGTTGGTTACTAAAGTTTTCATCGGCTGTACTAGCTAATTTATTGTCATGACCGCTAATGTTCAGCGGTATGTTTTGTCCAGAATTAAACAACTATTAATTTCCTACTCTGTGACCGTTTTCAGTGCTGTTGTCAGGAGAGTCTGAACAACAGCTCAGTAGTTAATTTCCCCTATTTCTTTACCTCCTTCTGGAAATGAAGACTGGCAAGTAACAATAGTTCCTCAAACAGAATGTTCAATCCAGATTAGTTTAAACAAATGCTCAAGGTACAGCAAAGAAAACCTATAAACACAAAAGAAGTTAAACATGAGTTGCTGTACCCAGAGCCCTATTTTATAAACTTAATTATGGTACAATTCTATTTGCCTTGTTTGCTAAGTTACTGCTGCCTTGCTTTGATCACCTGTGCTGTGACACTCCTGTTGGCAAAGACCTTTGTCCAGACACAAGACAATTGTCCTTTGATCAGTGATGGCACGTTTTATTCAGTATATGTGCAATAAATGCACTGCACTTTGTGCCCCTCTATTCATTTTGAACCTATAGGAGGTTTTTCAGGATGGTATATTCACTTGTTACTTCTTATAGAATAGAAATAAATAGGTTGTGTTCACATAATACAGTGCGTGGAAAAAAAAGTATGGTGTATTTAGCCAAAAAGTAGGCTAAATAATACCACATATAACTCTTTTCTCTTTATGTAATAGTTAGTCTTTGGATATTAGGTGCTATGGAAATACAATTTCACTAAAATAATTTGTGGAAGGAAAAAAGTTTATTGAAGCACTTTACAGAAATGAAATAAATTAACTCACAACATTTCTGTAAGGAAGGAAGTAACTTAACCTATTTTGCAGGCGGGAAAACTGAGGCACAAAAAAGTGAAGTGATTTGTCCAAAGGTGCACAGAAGACTGTTGAATAGAACCCACATTTTCTCACATTTGGTCCTATTCTAGTAACCACAAGGCTTTTCTTTACTGAAATGAGAAGTATAACTAGTTTTGTTGTCCAGGTACAGACTAGACTGATCTGTTCCTGGAGGTGAATTTGTTTCAGAACTGTCATTAAATTTGATTTTTTTTTAATGCTAATTACTTGCAGGATTATCAATCCCAACTAATAGTGACTCTTCTCCACAGAATTTAATGTTGGTCAGTACCGTCGAGATTTGGTAAAAACATACAAATCCTTTGAGTTCTTCTTGCCAGACAATGAAGAGGGCTTGAAAATCAGAAAGTAAGTTGGAATATTTTTGGCTTTACACAATGCCAGTTTAATTCTAATGATATGTTATAATTTACTATTGGGAACTGCTGAAAATTCTGATTTTGTATGCCCTGGAAACCTCTGTAGAACTATGATATCAGATACCAAAGAAATGAAACCTTAGAAAAGCAGGAGCAGTGTCTTTTGTTTGGACCGTTTAAAATTTTGGTTAACCTTTAGGTCAAATACCTTAAACAGTTGGATTTATTTAAGATTCGTCACCTCTGGCCCTTCAACAGGCTGTGAATGCCGTCATTCCATTTTACAGGGGACAAAGGGAGTCTACTTATTTATCGCCTTAGAAATACTAGGAATGTCAAGTCTCATCTACTCTGTTTTTATAGTTCGTCAATAAAAACAAAGTAAATGAGACTTGACATTCCTAGTATTTCTAAGGCGATAAATAAGTAGACTCCCTTTGTCCCCTTTTTCCCACTGCCAAAAAGGGTGCATACCTATCTTTTCCCTTTTGCTGGTCATATTAAATTAGAATAGAAATTCTAAAGTTTATTTGAATATATTCCAATCAATGCTTCAGGGGAGCTGGAACTGACAGTCTTCATCTGACAGCAGGAGAACTGCTTCGTACTCTGTATGCAGTCAAGTCTGCTGGTGAATTGCGCTGATTAGCTCTCAGTTTGCTATGCCTGGGAATTAGGCAGAGGCCGGAGGGAGTGAAGCACCAGTGGTAAATACTGTGGGCAAAGAAAGCAAATGGAACTCCTCCAAAGTGTGAGGAGGGAAGTCTGTTGGTCGGGTGAGAGAACCACTGGTATGGAGTGGGGAGAGAGTTTCTCTATCACAGAAGCAGAGATAAGGGAGGCAGATGTGCAGCAGGACAAGAGGGAGCGAAATCCTCTCTGAATTGTGATGCAAAACCAAATATTTGAAATTTGTGTTTTTTTCCTGCCATCACTGAGTCTTTCCATTCAGTATTTTGTATTTCCCTTGCAACAAGCAATATCACTAATACCAGGAACATGGCAATTTGCAGAAGAACCTGCTGTGTGGTTGTGACACGAGATAGATGATGTGTTTCACTGGCCTTCTAAGTCTCTCTATCTTTTACTTATAGCTAAAATTCAGCTTAATGTGCCTCCATGACGCTTATTAGACTAAATGGCTGAAATTACAGTAATTGGTAAGCCACTTGATCAAGTCAGACCCGTTTGCTGTGAAGGGAACGGGAGATGTATTTAGTTATCGAAGGCTTGATTCATGCGTCTTAATTTCCAAACTCTGTTAACAAGTAGCTGTTGGTATAGAAATGTTTGCAATGTAAAAGTTGTTGGAATTAAAAAGCATTCATTTTTTCTTTTATGACAAAGTTTTTATCAAGAGCACAGAATATCAGTTACACTTGGAAAACAAGACATTTCACTCCAGAACCTAAAATAGACTAGCAATGCCAGTAAAACCCATTGTAGGATATTGAGCCAAATCCAGCCTGTTTGGCAGCTACTATATGTCATTTAGGTTGGTTGTTAGCAAAAATTGTTGCTATCTGATGGTTCATGTGAAATACCATTTCCTGGCAGATAAATTGTCCATTTCACAAAGAGTAAACAGACATTATCCATAGTATTATTTAGGTATTGAAAATCTTATTTCACTTTGAGATTATTACTAGATCTGGTCAAATAATTGAGTGGAAGGAAATTGATCTGAATGTTAGCCATTTTAAATCAAAATTGCAGGGTTTTCTATGTTCTTCGAGCCAGCTCTAAATATTGTATTGTCTCATTTGTGATTCAGTTTCAGACTAGTGGCTGTGGTTGTGTTAATTTATATTAAAACAAATACACACTAAATTTAAGACAAAATGAGTTGAGCATGCTTAAAAACGAGAAAAAACATAAACTCAGCATAGAAGTCCACAGCAAGTAGACTACTGAGAAATATCTTGAGACAAAATAGCTGCAACAATTATTCATTTTAACCTGAGAAAATGAGGCCACAACTCAAAACACCGAGCAACCATATCTACTAGAAAACCATATTAAGAGTCAACTGCCCATGGATAAGTGTTCGTGGGTGGGGGGGCAGGGAATATTTCAGCTTAAGTGGTGGTATTGTAGTATTATTTTATGAAGCTGTGAACATTCATCCAGGGTTGTAGACTGGGCAGTAGAAAATTCTGTATGTTATGTGCTGATCTGTGCAACATGTTAGATTGTTAGAGGAGGTCTGCTTTCATTTTTGTCCAAAGTTGCGTGCCTGTGATCTATGGCCTTGGGCAAGTCAGCTCACCTCTCTGCCCATTTCCCCACCTGTAATGTGGAGATAGTACATATCAAATATATTGACGACTGACTAATGTTTCTTCAGCACTTTGAAAGCAAAGAGTTGTGTAATGCTAAGCATAATTATGGATAATTAAATTAGTTAAACTAGCATGTATCTTTTTTCCTTTAAGACAGTGTGCCTTAGCAGCGCTGAATGATGTCCAGCAGTACCTCAGTGAAGAAAACGGACATGTGGCTGTAAGTTTTCTGTCTTTTTTTGAAGGCAAATTCTTGGAGTGAGGTCTCTGCAAAAATCACCAACCTGTACTGGGTTATACATAATCTGATTCAGTCCAGAATCATTTCATTATGTGTCTTACATTTTCTTTGTAAATGGAAACTGGATTTATGTTGCTGCTGCATTGGTCGTTTTGTGAAAGGAAAACATGATATTTTCATAATTAAACCCTGAAATAGCCTCCCTTAGAAATGTGTGGGTGATGTCTAATGCTACCAAGCTGTACTAGTGCTGAGGAAAGTGCCTATGCTTTTATATGGTAAGATATCCTGCTTAATCATAATATAGATGCATCCAGAACCATTTGGTATCCTACTCCAATGTTTAAATCAAAGGTAAAAATGTTTTAAAAATTTTCCGTTAAAAAGTGCCTTAATACTAGTGTTATTGCCACTCTAAAAATGCCTCTGAGAAGAAGTAGAACAAAATTACATTTAACCTGCTGAACATTTTCTTTCCTTGTGAAAATAAAACCCAGTGGGCCATATTCAATGGGTTGTCAATTAAAGGTAATGCCACCAGTGTTGTACATCAGTGTTTTTAATTTTGCTGGCAGTTTTGGTCAGTGATGGCACAAACTCCTGTTGGAACACAATTAATATAACTGTTAATGGGAAACTACTTTGGAACGCACATGCACACACACTTTTACTTTCTACTAAGTTATAACTTATTGGCTTTGTTTTTGAGATTTGAATCTTCGGTGTAAAAATGGTCTGTTAGAATCTCTGCTAATCTAATGCCAGTGATATGCAAAGGATTCAAAACATTGGCTGTTCATTGAAATGACATTTTAATTCTCTTTCCTCTGGGGCGTTAAGTTTTCTGCATAATTTGAACTCTGTTTTTGAGACTGTTGACATGTGGAGCTGTCACTGAGTGTTCAGTGAGTTGTCAAACCAGCATTTTTTTCAGAGTAACAGCCGTGTTAGTCTGTATTCGCAAAAAGAAAAGGAGTACTTGTGGCACCTTAGAGATTAACCAATTTATTTGAGCATGAGCTTTCCGATGAAGTGAGCTGTAGCTCACGAAAGCTCATGCTCAAATAAATTGGTTAGTCTCTAAGGTGCCACAAGTACTCCTTTTCTTTCAGCATTTTTTTGTAAGTTTAAGCCATGATTTGGAGTGTTGAAAAATAAGGACATGCTATTTAAAGGACCTTTTTTACTTTTTATGCTTAATTATAAAAATCAAAATAAATTGTAAAATGCAACCCCTTTCATAGAAGTCTCCACAAACATGAAAGTTTGCATAATAGAATTTATGTGGCTGAAGATATTTTGCATTTAGTCACCTGTTTTGCGATATACCCAAGATGTGTGCAGTTATTTCTCAATAATGTTCACCTTGTACATTCTGCATATGAATAGGAAAATTATTAATATGATTTCTAAAGTCAGAAATGGACTATAATTCTTGCCATTTATTATAGTCAAAACCTGTCTTTACATCAGACTTGCTTTTCAGTTTTTATATAGATAATCACATTCTATTATGGAGGTTTTCCCATCTTATCTAGTTTTGAAAGCTTTTGACAGCTGGAAAACTTCTACAGGGAAATCCAATAAGTTTACCTCTTTTATACAGTTGAAACGAGTAGGAGTATATGCAGCTATTAAAATGTATGGGAGGTACATGGCATAAGTACAGGAGAGCAGTACAGGATCCCATGAGATCATGCACATCATGTTTGTTATTGAAGTGAATAATATTGTGAGGCTTTTTATTTTCTAATGGCGTGGTGTGTTAAATTAGGCACCTTTGAAAAATTCCAGCTTTAATCATCAGCAGTATTGAACTAGATTGTGTCTATCTCTGTGGGGTTTACTTTTTGAAAGTGGAGACCACTTTAGAAATGTAACTTGATATTTTCACTACTAGGATAGGTAGAGATGCTTCAGAAAAGTGAGTTCTCAACCCAGGTGCTATCTTATTTGTTCAGAATTCTTATGACCATAATCTAGTGCCAGCAAAGTTTTTGACATTGTTCCTGGGAGTGACTTATTCCTGTTTATGGGTGGTTTTTTTTTTTTTTTTTTTAAGTTGAAGGAAACTTTTAGTTTTGGAAACTTTTATTGATCGTTTAGTGCTGTTGTCAAGATGTGGCAATATTTCAGCTCTACTATGATAGTGTTTTCTCTGTCATTTGTCTTAGGTTTTTGATGCTACAAACACAACACGAGAACGCAGAGAAACAATCTTCAGATTTGGTGAGGAGAATGGCTATAAGGTGAGTCAATAGCTAAGATGCTTGGGATATGAATGTGACTAATGTGGATGCATGGTTTTGTCTTATGCTCTAGCGACATTCTGATCAGAATTGTGCTAACATCAACTAAGTTTTTAAACGGTGTTGGCCAGTAGAAATCTAGCACGTTTTTTCTGACAAGTTTAGAAAGGTGTCTTCTCTTCCCCCTCCCCCCCCCGAGCATGCTGTTTGCATCCTGGTGAAATTAATCAGTTTTATGTTTTAATCAGTTTTATGGTTCCCTATAACAGATAAATGTTAGCAATAACTGTTTCAAACATGGTTGTCATTAGCCCAGTTCTGATTCTGTTCTGAACAAGGTCCTATCACTCCCTTACTTTAGTAACTTTGAAAAATGGAGAGGTTTCAGAGTAGCAGCCGTGTTAGTCTGTATTCGCAAAAAGGATTACTTGTGGCACCTTAGAGACTAACAAATTTATTTGAGCGTAAGCTTTCGTGAGCTACAGCAAAGTTAGTACAATAATTTGTGCCACAAGTAATCCTTGATAAATGGAGAGAGGGTTTCTTTTTTGTTTACAGTTTTATACAGATAAGTTTATATTTAGCAGACTGTTATTTAGGCATAGGATTTTTTGGCATTCAGCATTTTCCTAGTAGTCTTTGTTTTGTTTTTTTCCTGATCTAACTTCTTCGTAGATCTTTGGAAAAGCATGTTATGTACATCTCATATGTAAGAGCTGCTCTATTAATTAGAGAACCTTTTAACACCAAAATGCTTTTGTTTCAAAGGTATCAATTACCTTTAGGAAGGCTGAATTCACTGCCTTCTACCCTCCATTTCTGCTTCTTTGCCAATCTGAATTTTCTTGCCACGGAAGCTCTCTGTTACTGAAAGTTGCTTGGGAAAAATAGAGAGCCTAATGCCGCAAAGTGGAGAGCACCCTCAACTTTTAATGGGGCATTGAGTATCCTGAATGACCAAGCCTAAATCTACCTAGGAATGTTTGAAGTATGGCATAATTAGCAAGACTCAATAGATGAACTGGTGGAAACTGTGTGTTTGTGTTGTCAAATTACTGGAGCAGTTCTAATGTCTCTCCTTTCTTTTCTCCTTCCTTACATGTGATTTCCTGTTTGGATTAAAGACCTTCTTTGTTGAATCAGTATGCGTAGATCCAGAGGTCATTGCTGCAAACATTGTGGTGAGTTATAGAAAGGTTTTCTTAAATTGCTTGAAGTGGGAGACATTGTAGCTTGTCTAAAATCAGCCATATGATGATGACTTCTTTTAATGTTACCTTTCATTTAGTCTCATTTTCCCTCTCCTTTCACAATGGTCTTGCTGAAGTACAGAACAAGAATGTCCTTTCATGGCAGTAATATAAAACTGTGCCCTTTCATTTCATTTTAAGAGGAAAAATGATTTGGCAGTTGGGTCACCCTTCACATGGGTTCTGTTTTTTCTTTAATCTACCTTTAAACAGGCTGTGCTTTGAGTGTCTTATTTTAGCAGGACTCCTAAAAGAAAAGAAACATCAGCTCCTTTTCCTTTTGGTTTGTTTTCCTACCCATTTATTTAGTTTTGATTTAAAACAGCCATCCATTGCTACACACATTTTTAATTTCCAGAAATTTAAATTTGGTTAAAATTTCTTTAAACTTTTCTGAAAATGGGAAAGAAAATGCATGTGCTCTTTTATCTTTAAATAGCAAGTGAAACTTGGCAGTCCTGATTATGTTGATTGTAGTAATGATGAAGCTACAGAAGACTTCATGAAAAGAATAGAGTGCTACAAGAACACATATGAGATGCTAGATGAAACTCTGGACAAGTAAGTGGCAGAATAATACTGTGGTCACAGCCATTTTATTTCATGACATTACATTAGAGAATGTGTACTCAATCTCATTGTCATGGAAATATGTCACCATTTTTTTTTTTACTATCTCAATCTGTTGGCAATTTAGAGAGAGATTTTCAAAGGCCCTAACAGCTTGCCTACATGGGGAAATTGACTGGCATAACTATTCCACCATAGCTGTCCCTGTGCTTTATTCCAGAATAATTACTCCACTCACAATTTGCTATAATCAGAATAAAGTCACTTTTATTTCAGAATATTGTTCATGTGGGGGAATTATTCCTGAATAGCTATATTATTCCAGGATAGCTATAGTGGAATTGTTATTCTGGAATATCTTTGCTGGTCCGTTTCCTCTAGGTAGACAAGGCCTAAGTGATTTAAGAGCACAAGTCACATTGACTCCTAAATCCCTGTGGCAATTTTGAATGCCTCAGCCTTAGTAAATTTGACCTCCAGAATCATTTGGTCAATGTTTTAAATGATGTGCACTTGCCATTCACATTTAACACACTTTGAGATTAAGGTAGAGGCTGGAAACTGGGAATAACTCTTCCTTTGTCATGGTACATCCCAGCACCAGCACTCAGTCTGTCTTCCTAGGGTTTTATGCTGTACTTATCCTCTGGGTACATTTCTCAGTTTGTTTTGAGGCTGTTGCCATGCTGAAAAATCATTTTAGTGTAATTGACCGTGAGCAGTGACAAGCTGCTTCTGTCAGATCTATCTGTGCATATCATGTCTTTAAGAGCCATGATATTTGTGCCTGTGCAGATCAGTAATGATTAACATCAGTGAATGCTTTCAGAGATTAAGTGATGATGGTTATCCCTTACTGCATTTAATAATAGGTCGTCTTATTTTTTTTTTATCATGTGGTTTCTCAACTGAATGTGGAAAACACAACAAGGCTAATTTTAGGCTCACCAATCTTGACACACTTTTTCGCTAAGTGGAATGTTGCTCAAAATTGTTAGCTCAGCTATATAAGTTGGTGGAAATGGGGGTGGAGAGGAAAACAAATAGACAATATTAGCCAGATTGCACCTTACCCAATGTGAGTGGGTAGAGCTTGGGTGGGAGTGGGGTTGGCCAAGGAGACATCAACAGGGTGGCTGGATTTACTATCTCTTCTGGTGACCTTAGCCTTTTTAGAAGGGGTCAGTGAGGCATGTGGATGTGACCATGACTTCAGTCCCTTTCTGTACCACCAGACATCTATTAGCTGTGGGGAGCAATAGCTGCAATTTACAGAATGGTGTCAGGCTTACGTGAGCAAGTCAGAATTTCTCCTGAGACTGCTCCTGAATCTTCCTTTCAATGAAGGGCTGTGCCTTTGAGGCAGGATCTAGCTGGGGGGAGTGCACAAGTGAAGTGGTACAGAATGGAGTGACATGAGAGTGAGAAGAGCTTTCCGTGTGAGGGTAAAATTAATTGTTTGCATGAGTTCATTGCATCTCCGTTTACAATACTTCACTGCCATGCATCAAGGCTGAGGATTTATAATGAAAATTAGCCCTTATGAACTGATATTATATATTTTCATATATCTGAACATTTATTCAATTTGTGGTCTCTTTGGCAGTTGCCTTTTTGTTTCTGAGTGGTGATGTTTGTTGGTGGACCTTGGTATAAGTTAGAGGAGAAAAGAAACCAAATGATTATTTATGACTCATTTGTTTACCATGAAAGGGATCTTTCCTATATTAAAATCATGGATGTTGGAAGGAGTTACCTTGTGAATAGAGTAATGGACCATATTCAAAGCCGGATCGTCTACTACCTCATGAATATCCATGTAACTCCTCGCTCGATCTACCTCTGTCGACATGGAGAAAGTGAGCTGAATCTGAAAGGGAGGATAGGAGGAGACACTGGGCTGTCCTTTAGGGGGAAAGAGGTAAGATCATTTTTATTAAGTGTCTTCAAACAAATGGTTGCCTTGTGTGGGTGGTGTTGACGTTGTTCATGGAGGATTGGTCCATCAATGGCTGTTGTCACCCCGTGCTCCAGATGTCCCTAAACCTCCAAATTCCAGAAGCTAGGACTGGATGACAGGATGGATTACTTGAAATTGCCCTGTTCTATTCATTCCCTCTAAATGTATCTGGCACTGTCCACTGTCAGAGATAGGATACTGGGTTAAATGGACCATTAGTCTGACCCAATATGGGTGTTCTTATATTGTTGACCATCTGTCAGAGTTCCCTCCCCACTCTGAATTCTGGGGTACAGATGTGGGGACCCGCGTGAAAGACCCCCAAGCTTATTTCTGCCAGCTTAGGTTAAAAACTTCCCCAAGGCACAAATCCTTCCTTGTCCTTGGATGGGTACTGCTGCCACCACCAAGTGAGTTAGACAAAGATTCAGGAAAAAGACCACTTGGAGTTCCTGTTTCCCTAAAATGTCCCCCGAAGCCCCTTCACCCCCTTTCCTGGGGAGGCTTGAGAATAATCTACCAACCAAATAGGTAAACCAGGTGAGCACAGACCAGATCCTTGGGTTTTTAGGACACTAAAAACCAATCAGATTCTTAAAAAACAGAACTTTATTATAAAGAAAAAAAAGTAAAGAAGCACCTCTGTAAAATCAGGATGGAAGGTAATTTTACAGGGTAATAAGATTTAAAACACAGAAGATTCCCCTCTAGGCAAAACTTCAAAGTTACAAAAACCAGGGATAAACCTCCCTCTTAGCACAGGGAAAATTCACAAGCTAAAACAAAAGATACTCTAATGCATTTCCTTGCTATTACTTACTATTTCTGTAAGTTTAGATGTATTATCCAGTAGGAGCTGGATTACTTGCTTGGTCTCTCTTTGTCTTCGGAGAGAACACAAAAGCCCAAAACAAAAACCTTCCACCACAGGTTTGAAAGTATCTTCTCCCCTTATTGGACCTTTTGATCAAGTGCCAACCAGATTATCTGAGCTTCTTAACCCTTTACAGGTAAAGGAGAGATTTTATGCTACCCTTAGCTGTATGTTTATGACACCATCTCTTATAGCTTCCTTTCTTCATCTGTCTTTTCCTTATAACAAACATAAATATTTCTTTTACCTTGACTGTAATGTCATGCAAGTGGGTAAGAGGTTTGAGTGGGCAAATTGCGTTGTAGTTTGCTGTTAGCTCTTTATATATGGCTTCTCTTTTAATTCTTCTCTGATACACTTGTGTTTAACCTTGAGCTCAAAGCACTTTTCAAGGAGTCCTTATTTTAAGTTGGGTTTTGATTTTTAAACTTGTGGCGCTCCTTAGTTAGTGGGCACCTGTGAATCTTTGTAAGGTGAGGATGGAAGAGGAAGTTGTTTTGGGGCTGGAGTGGGGTACCAGAGAGGATTGTCATCATCTTTGTATTATCTTTTTGTTGCTGAACAGGAACTGTCATATTCTTAGGAAAAGTCTAAAGATCCTTTTTAAAGGAACATAATGAACTTGCAGTGAGGGACAAGAACCGATTGGGTTCCAACTCAACCACAGTATATTAGCACTGATCCCTCATCCAATCTCTAATGTCTTTTTCAGTTTGCCAAGAGCTTGGCGCAGTTCATTAATGAGCAAAACATCAAGGATCTGAAAGTTTGGACCAGTCAGATGAAAAGGACAATTCAGACTGCAGAGGCTTTGGGAGTGCCTTATGAACAGTGGAAGGTTTTGAATGAAATAGATGCAGTAAGTTCTCCTGGGTTCCCTTTTTTGTAACTATTCAAGAAAGTGATTCTGTTTCGGATAGGGGATGGTGAGCATTTTATTGTGCAGTAATAGGGCTTGTGTGGATTAGAAGGTGATTAGTATTATGGTTCTGGAGATCAGAAAGTTTATGGCCTTTCCTCATTGACAGTGTTACATGTTTTAGTAAATGGTGCCCTAATGAATTTAGACTTGGTCTTGGTTAAACGATATGCAACTTAAAGTGTCACTATGGCAGGGCGCTGCATGGGAAGCCCTAATCAGCTCCTGCCACTTCAGCCCCAATCAGGGGAAGTGGGTTGGTGCTGGGCCCAGGGTGGATAAAAATCAATGATTTAAAAAAAAAAAATAAAAAAAATTGGATTTTTTAAATTTAAATTGGATTTTTTTGATAAAATACTTTTTGAGGAAAAAACCTATCTAAAGATCGTTTTAATTAAGACACATTATAGCTCAAAGATATCTCATCATGGAATAGGGATTATAAATTCTAATTCTATAGTATGAGACAATATATTCATGTAATGATTAAAAAAAGTTTTGTAAATGAGTTCCAATAGTTCATGGATTAGGGACACAATTTTATGAGGTTCCAGGGGCTTCTGTATAGATTATTTAGGTTAATCTTTCTGCCTACCCAATGGGACTCAGTGCTCAGTCTAGAAGATACCATCAGAGATGCTTAGTTTTGCAGTTCTCAAACTGTGGATTTGTGTCTCCAGAGATAGCATGCTTGTTAATAGCAAAAATGTTTTAAAATAAATAAATAATAAATAATGTATAGAGGTAAGAAATAACAGACCTCAACACTATTGTCCCTCTACAAATTTGTGTACATAGAATCAGTCCCTTACCTCTCTCTAAAAGTGCAAAGTTTCAAAAGGTTCAATGAATAAGAAGATGGTTGGGGGAGGAATAGAGAAGAAGTCTGGAGATAAATGTGAGAAGAGAGGGACAGGCAGGAGAAACAAAAGTGAAACTCTTTGAGCAGCATATTCCAGAAGTCTTGAGGTCTTTCTGAGTGTGTAGCCTTCATTGATTTGAGATTTACCATACCATTCTCTCACTAGAAGGGAAAACCTATAATGGCAGCAGGCCGTAAAAGAGACCCAGTTTGGGTCTCATCTATCTCTGAGTTGTGAAGAATATGTCTTAAGGTTATAACAACCAACAAGAATGCACTTTTATGTAGAAATCCATGATTAAATCAAGTCTTCCTGACTAGTGATTTAAATCAAATCCACTGTGGCTGGGCCACTAGCTACGACTGGCCAGTAAACTGGCCACAGCTGCCAGCCTCATTAGCAGGGGCTAAGAGCTAGGGGGGAAGTGAATTGGAGGGGAGGGGGCAGAGAGCAGGAGGGGAGAGTAGGCTCAGGAGGAGCCAGGAGCCTACTACTCTGTTGCCACTGAGGCCTGTGCTAGGCCAAACCTGTAAATAACCTGTAAATAGTTGGAGCTTGGTGGTGGTGACACAGGATTAAAGAGCATGGATGTTGCACCAGCTTGAAGAGGTCCTGACTCATTGGGGAACGGGGCTAGGGGGCTGAACCCAGCGGGGTTTTGTGAGCACCCCATAACAGTCACACATTTCATTTCTTCTGTAGCCTGAGCATGTGTACCTTCGTCACCCTCACAAGCTCCCTCTCTGCTGCTAAGGGCTCTGTGGTGTTCTTTCCTCTCTTCCACCCCACTCAAATCCCTTCTTCCTCCTCACCATTCTTAAGTCTTCCTCCCCTTCCCCTTTCTGGAAGATAAGTCATTTCAACTAAGTGTCTGCATTTAAAACTCCATTGGGGCTATGAGCAGAGCTGATATGGGGAAGGGAGAGTATTGTTAGGTTAAAGGTGTTAATGGCTGCTATCAACCAGTTCTTTGATATGTAGACAATTGCAGATTTGGTTGAAGCTAGTAGCTCTGCATGTTCCCTCATTTCACCCATCTGGTTTTCTGGCTTTTCGCAAAATCAATCGCATTCTGCCCATTGATATCTAGAATGTTCCCTGAAATTTTGCAGTGGATCATACACAACATTCAAAGGTTATTGCATTGTAGGCAAGCAGAGAAATGGCCATCAAGTTGTGTGTTGCACCTAGCTGATAAAAAGGACACTCGGTATAATTCTAGGTCCAAAACTTCAGGCGTGTTCTTATGAGAGAGAAAAAAATTGTTAATATTTGGCACTTGTCACTTGTTTACAGTTGTACGACGCTTATACTTACAAGTTTTGAAGCTTCTTTGGAGACCCCGTGTAGGATCTTTGAAACTAGTAGCTTTCCCCGTTGTCTGTCAAGTGTGTGCTGGGATGTTCTTATCTGGGGGTTACTGTCGTCATTCTGAGGACATCCTGCATTGAATAAAAGCAATATATGTGGATAATAAATTTTCTTCTACCACAGTATGACTGTGAAATTGACACAGTCTATGTCAATGACTAGGTCACCTACAGGATTACTAAATTATTACACAGAAGCTCCAAGTCTGTCACTGTGGGTATGGGAGATAAAGATCTACTATTGTGCCCATGGGCCTGATGAGGCTCATGCATATTGTAAAAAGAAAAGGAGTACTAATGGCACCTTAGAGACTAACCAATTTATTTAAGCATAAGCTTTCGTGAGCTACCGCTCACTTGTTTTTGTTACCCTTAGGGAGTCTGTGAAGAAATGACATATGAAGAAATTCAGGAAAACTATCCTCTTGAATTTGCCTTGAGAGACCAAGACAAATACAGATACAGATACCCTAAGGGAGAGGTATGCTGCTGTTTTTTTTTCTTTTTTCTTTTCTTTTTTTTTTTTAAGTTGAGAGCATCATGTTTTCTTAAGATGCTAGGTATCTTGAAGAAAATTGAGTAATACGTTGTTTTCCTTGCCAGTGGAAGGACTATAGGAGCTTGTAGATCTTATTTAGCCAAAACCTTTTAGTTGAATACACCCTTTGTGAAGATTTATGGTTTTTTTTGGTTTTAAAATAAATACCATATTTGGAAATATGCCTGGAAGGATTTTTGTATGTTACCATTATTTTTATATTGATAGTCTGGTTGTTTCACAAGGTGACTGAGCAGGTTTTATTATTATTAGAGATGCAGGTATATGCTGTCAAGACTATTTACAGTTGTCATCTTTGTGTGTGGTAAATGTCACATAAAACATGCATTTTTGGTTCAATATTATATAAATCTGTAGACACATTGGCTTCCCTTGTAATCTAGCAAAAGTTTTGCACTTCAGAAACAAAAATGAACCTGCTAGCAGTTTTATAAGGAGACTAATATAATTAAACTGAGGCAATTAATGGATAGTCATATGGTCTGTCTTTGTATGCTAAAGATTAGGATTCATGGCAGCAAATAGAACACCTGTTCTGACATTTGTGAAGAGTGCAGTGGACTTCATTGGTACATAAATGAAGCTTTGATGCTCTCTTCCATCAATAGTCTGAGTGATCATCATGCCCAGAATAGGTTTGTGATAAAGTGTTTTCTTCTAGATGTGAGTAATCCATTTAGTAATGACACAGTCACAGAACTGAAAAGTTTTTAATCTACTCAAACAAGGACTGTTGGTTTTTTACATCAGTGCTTCCTCTGAAAGATTAACAAACATTTCAAACTGTCTCATTGCTCTTAGTGATTAATCTATTTTGTTAATTTCTCAAAATAAATGTATTTGTTGGTGATAACAGCAAAGCTGAGTCATTCAATATTACCAGGTTGGAATATATTCAGTATTACTGTTGTCAAAATCAAAATATATAAAGTGGTAGACCGTTCATGTCATTTATATTTTAGCTTTATCATACACACAAGAAGTATTAAAGATATCTATGTGTGTGAATTCATTGCTTGAGAAAGTACCAGGTACAGAATGGGTGGTGGCAATCAAAGTTTCCTTATAGTGTCTTGTCAGTGTGCTTGTAACAGTCAACTTGAGAGACTGCCTTTTAGAGATGACAGGGTAGCTTCTGTGAAAAAGGTGTATAGAGTTTGATAGAGAATGTTATCTTTTCTATAGAGTGTTCAAATCAACAATCGCAATTAGGGCTGTCATTCTCTGTGAAATTGGAGGTTTTTTAGAAATTAATCTAAAACGCTATTCTTTGAGAGTTGTCTCCTTTGCTGTACAGTACCCAGGCTCTTCGATTGTCTTAGTAGAGAGGGAGTTATTTTAATAGTAAATTTACTATTTTAATTGTTTTTATTATTATTTATTTTTGTGTGTAATATGGGTAGAAGATCAACAAGTGGACATCAGATGAAAACAAGCTTTAGTCACTACTCACTGGTAACTTACAGGTTAAAAGGTATATGTTTTTGTTTAAATAGTCATCTAGGCATGGGCACTTTTGTATCTAGGTCAGACTCTAAACTTTTTATTTATTTATTTAAAGGCCAATATAGTGCAGCTACCTAAATGTTATCACCCTCATGATCTTCTTGTGGAAGTAAAATAGTTGTGGATAAGATGACCCAAACAGGAAGGGTTATGGTGTTAACTGACTATGCTATGTCTACACTAGAGACCTTAACAGTAGCACAAGCTATACCGCTGCAGCTGCATCACAGTAAGATCTCCCGTGTAGCTGCTCTGTGCTGACGATAATTAAACCACCCAAAACAAGCAGTCGTAGCTGTGTCAGCGCTTCTGTCACTGAAACTTATGTTGGTCAGGGCCTGGGGTGTGTGTGTGTGTGTGTTTTCACACCCCGACCAACAAAAGATTTCCCGACAAAAGTGCTAGTGTAGAGATTGCCTAAGATGAGGCAAAGCTTAGGGATTTTTAATTTTTAGTTTTATTGAGCTGGCGTAATCCAGAAACTTGGAAAATAATAAAGAAACGAAAACACCCTTGACTTTTGTTCATCTTCCTTAGTGTGTGCTTCAGTTAATACAGCATTTAACCACTTTGAATGCATGCTAAAGTTGCATTGACTTCAAGTTGCATGCTTAAATGCTTTCCTGAAGAAAGATGCTTTTCTGAATTGGAGTAAAAAAATTTAAGATGGAAGAGAACTTAGGAACCAAATTAATAATGAAAGGTGTGGTACTTTCCCATTGGAAGGATCAGGCCATAAATTACCAGCACAGGATAACCCATGAATGGGAAACTGAATTTAAAAAACAAACTAACCAAAAAAAGTATGAGTAAGAGTACATCAAAGTATAGACGTTCATGCAAATCGAGGGAATATTAAGATAAATGGTAAAATTCTATATTTGAGAGGGTTGAGGGATAATTTGGCTCCAGAGATAATGGCTAATGAGTAAACCACTTCCTCTACAGCGTAAAAAATTGTAAACTTTTTTATTTTTCTTTCACAGAGTGCATTTTATAGATGTAGGCCTCCTTTCTGGTCAATATCCTGTCTTAATAAAATGTTTATAAGACAACTAGCATTAGTTGTTTCTTCTGACTGTGCAGTAATTCCTGCCTAAGTAAGCCTCTGACTGCTCAATATGCTTTTGTTTTCCAGTCATATGAAGATCTCGTTCAGAGATTAGAGCCCGTAATTATGGAGCTGGAAAGGCAGGAAAATGTGCTTGTTATATGTCACCAAGCAGTTATGCGCTGTCTGCTTGCTTACTTTCTGGACAAGACTGCAGGTATATGCCCTTAATAAATATTGATGTTTTAATACAATGGGTCCACCTTAGCCTTGCAAATGGTCTTAGCAACTTATGCAGCCCAGGCACAAAGCTCACCCTTCCCTTGATGCCATGTTAATGTCATAGCAAATTCTAACGTGATAATTCACTTGCCCATCAAAGGTTACTTCCCCTGGGTGAATGGGCAAGTGGAATTTTTTTTCATGGATGACCTACCTATATTTCTGCATGCCTGGTGTGTAATTTATATTTAACAATTTCTGTCTTTGAATACATAAATGTTTTTCTGCCCCACCAAAAAACAGGTCTCAGTGTCACTTAGGAAGAAAAGCTTTTTAAATAGTTTTAAAATAACAAACACTACAGCTCAGTGAATTTTCTTGTTCCCAGTGTTTCATATGTATTTTTGTTTTTCAATTTCTCAGAACAACTGCCTTATCTCAAGTGCCCACTCCATAGTGTCTTAAAGCTAACCCCAGTGGCTTATGGTAAGTTAAAACACTTTTTTTTGGTAAACATTCTATTATCAAATTCCACCCTTGATTTTATTAAAGTAAAGATACATAAAGTGAAGTCCTTTCCAGTATAAGTTTAGGGAGAAGTCCTTATTTAATTTTATTTCCCAATATCAATAAAATTATTTAGTCAAAATACTTTTTCATAAAACATCTTTACAAATTTCCTTTACTGGAAAAATAAATAGTTAAATGTATAAATGCTGAAGGCCAAATTCTGCCCTTATATATGCATATATAACTCCTTTCCAAATTAATGGGAGTGTGCATATATGTATTTGTGGGTTTTGATTACAGCAGAAAAGTGTATAATAACGGAGATATGAAAATACCAATTAGTGTGTGTAGGTGGACACTTTCTTGTGTATTCATTAATTTAGTCCAGATGATATTTCACCAACTTCACCAGCAAGCACACCTTGATTATGTTTGTACTGTGCCAGCTGTTATACCAATAAAATGAAAACCATCAGGATCTTATTAGAGGGGATAAGACAAAATGTCACGTTTATTGTGAATACAAAAAGAATCATAGTAGGCAGTCAGTTATAGCTATAACATTTCAATCAGTTTCACATTCATTCACACGTTCGTTCATACACACACACACACAGGTTCTGCAGCTGCTGTATAGTTACCAGTCCTGAATGTAGCTTGAGTTCGTGGCTTGGGTTCGTAGCTTGTGGTGGCTAACTGGCCAGGAAAGCCGGGCACAAGGAAGAGCTGGGTATCTGTTGGGCATGCACCGATGCCCTTCCATGTTGGCAGCAGAATGTTACCCTTCAAAGTCTTCCATCTCCCCCATCCTTTTTGTAGGCTTTAGTTTGAATCCAGAGTCTATAGGTCTTGCTGTGTCACGCTGGCTCTGTGTTCGGTGTGATTGATCACCTGTCAATTGCAGACATGATTTTCATCTGAGAACCTGGCTTTGATGTTTCTTTAATTGTACTTTTGTTTTTTTCTTTTGAGGGTGGACTCCTCTTACTTTGTCAGGTCTGTTGTCTGCATCTTCAGCCGTTGGGTGTTTACACTTTATTTCGTCAGGACAGGCTGGGGCTGGAGGTTGATTCCATCGTCCATATATACCTCATTCACACATCTAAACTAAACTAATAAGATTACAGCAGGGTTTTGCAAAAATGAAGGTTGCAGCAAGCTTTTACAAAATGAAGTGAGCATTTTAAAATGGAGTTTGGGACAAGTTAAAATGGAGTTTGAGTTACAGTATGGACAAGTGTAAGGAATGGCAAGCAGTGAACAGAAGTTACAATGTTGAAACAATGTAAGTTTCAGCGAGTTAAGCAGCAATTGGATTGAAAGTGAAACTCAATTAGCCAGTTATTGTGGTAACTGGTTTTATGAATGAATGTTGTTTCATTCATAAAACTTTGCTTATGAAGTTATATTAATAAAGTGAACAATTAAAAACAATTTCATTGATCAGTTCTACACAGCTCTAGGGGACTCCAATGCTGGTTGGGTCCTCTGGGCACTGATTTAATACCACTGCTAATTAAAAATAAGGAAGTGAAATTCTGAAGGTTGCTTATAAAATGGGAGTTTGGTAATTGTCAAACTTTTACCCCCAAAGAGTCTGCTGGTTGTTTGTTTTTTCTGAGATATTTATTTGTGGTCCCTCCTTTTAAAGAAAAATATATTTTTTTTTCTTTTTTCCTGGCTGTGTCCCCACTTTCTGTAAAACTCTTCATTAGCAATTATTACTGTTAGATTGTATTTCAGCAAATCTAAACTCTTAGATTTACCAGAAGTCTGCAGAATACAAGAAATAAAATTCAATAATTTCCAATTAGAGTGGCTTTTCAGAAACTCATCACTACTTAGATTCTGAAGTGCATCTCAACCCTAATTCAGCACGTCTTATTTTAATGTGCTTCATTACATTGTCCTTAGAATAATTGTTTAATTGTACACTGTGATGGCTAATCACTGTTCAGAAGGTTAATTGTAGATGGAGAGAAATTTCTCATGATTTATCTGGGAACGAGTTTCCAAAAAATCATTTGCCAATTTAGCTACACAATGGAATTCAAATGGCAAAGGCTAAACAATATATATATATATAAATCGTGTTTATACCAATTTAAACAAAAACAAATCCAAATTAGCTTTTGTTCAGGTCTAAGTAAGATTAAGGAAATAGCTGTTTAAAAACTAGGGGAATTCATATCTGAAAAAAAAATAGAGATTTTTACAGACTTCATAACAATGATCTAAAATATTCTTGCTTTTTAAACAAGCTAAGAGAACACTTCACTTTAGTAAAAAGAAAAGGAGTACTTGTGGCACCTTAGAGACTAACCAATTTATTTGAGCATAAGCTTTCGTGAGCTACAAGTGAGCTGTAGCTCACGAAAGCTTATGCTCAAACAAATTGGTTAGTCTCTAAGGTGCCACAAGTACTCCTTTTCTTTTTGCGAATACAGACTAACACGGCTGTTACTCTGAAACCTTCATTTTAGTGACACCTGGTGTCCAAAATCATTTATAACAAGTTGCAAGGCAGATGTGCTGGGAGTTTCTGGTATTTTAAAAATATCTTAACGGAGAAGGAAGGCATCTTGTACAAGTTACCAGTCCCAAACTATTCTAGTGTTTCATATAGAAATTGTACTGAACTGTTAAGTGATTTTGGGTACTTTGTATACTGTATTTGGACATTGGACCTGAATGTTATTAACAGTATTTTAAGATACCAGATATGAAAACAGAATTAACAGTGAGACCCCACTTCAGCTCCTACTGACTAAAATAGGAGGAAGGCTGTGCTTATGAAGAGGAATTTTTGTATTTGTGAGATTGATAGGTGCAGCATAACCTATTTTTTAGTATTTTCACCAACTGAAACCATGAAATTTGGCAAATTTGTAATTGTCCTCAAGAAATTTGTCTTCAGAAGTTAAAATATATAAATATTTTCATTCGCTAATGTTTCTGGGAATCTAATATTGATATGTCACTTGGATTCTATGAGACAAGATATGATAAAGCATGAGATATGTAATACCCATGTGTGTTTCATGTGTTTGGGAAACCTTTGTCCCCTAGTAAGTTGCCATTACCTAGTGCTTTGAACTTACTGTCTTAGTCCCTTTCTTGCAAGTGTAGTTGTACTATGTTATGTATGTACTATGTTCCCATAATTACTTGCTATGTGTCAGATCATTTCCCAAGAATCCTACTTGGCAGTGTGTTCATCCCTAGTGACTGGTGGGGATGGACAGATGCGCTATGCTTATTATCTTAACACTCCCCTACCACCCACTCTGAGCCATCTGCTTAAAAGTTAACCATCTGATGCTATATTAATTTATATACAAAACTCTGTGCTTTTGGAACCCCCCTTAAGGAGACAAGGCAGGAGGTCTGGGGCCCTGAGAGAATCTCTCAGTTAATGGCAAGGGGACAGACAGTTCAGAAATCTCTGTGCAAATAGTTTTGGAATCGAACAGTTCCCCAACAGCTGCACATATTACTCCTGAGGAGATTTTGTGTCAAACCATTAAAAATTCTGTGCACAATATTTTAAAATTCTGCATTTTTTTATTTGTCAACAGAGCACAATATAATCACACCAGTTTCAATTATTTTGGTAATTTATTTAAAAATACCTGTCAACAAGTATGTCTGTAACAATACAGACAACAAAAAGGTCAGAAAATGTTTTTTGACAAATAGATTCCTTACTAGTTATATTGATACAGAACTTTAAATAATAATTCATTTAAACTACCACACAGAAATGTATGTCCTGCACCCCTCAGAAGCAATGCAAAGGCTTGGGGGAGTCAGGAGTAATGGAGCGGCTAAGGGAGAGGGAAGTAATTGCTGGAAAGAGGCCTGGGAGTGAACCTGGAGGGCTGTTGGGTGTGGGTGGGAGAAGTATGGAACAGTTTGTTCTTTGGGGGGAGGGATTGTTGGGGAGCCTCACCTATGCAGACCCTGGCTGACTCCTAGCCTCTCTCATTCAATCATGCATATCTGCCCCATCCCCATGTGTCCCTGCACCCCCTGTCTCCATATGGCCCTGCACCCCTACTCAGCCACCATCTCCCCCATCTCCATGTGTCCTTGCACCCTCACTCAGCCACCACTCCTTTCCCATCCCCATGTACCTCTGCATCCTCACTCCCATTCAGCCCCTGCCCCAGTCTGTCCCCCTAATAGCCCTTCTGAACCCCAGTCTGTCAGCAGCCCCATGTGCCCCGCTCTGTCCATCCACCTCCATGTTCTGTGCCTCCTCACCTGGCCCCAGAAGTAGGGCGCTGTGTGGAACACAGCCTTTTCTCCTCCCTATCGGCACAGGGCTGCTCCCACCCAGAAGCAGTTGCCTTCTGTTTGGGTGCCAGAGCAGCTCTTGGTGGGAATAATGTGTAACTGCAGCACCTCTCCAGCAGAATGTATTTTCTGCAGGGAACATGTATTCAGCATGTGCACAGTGGGGCAGAATTCCCACAGGAGTAAATATCAGGGGTTTGAACCCTTTGTTGCTTGTGTGTGGGGACGAGCATGCCAGTGGAAAAACTAATAAGGTTCTCCCTTGAGGAACAGAGTTTCACCGCAGCCCCTTTTAATGGGCTTTTCTGCAGGATATGGCCATCTGGCCCAGTTTTTTCTCTCATTGCTAGTTGTAAATGGGTTTCTCAATATTAGTAAAAAAAGATCCTCCTCTAAGGAATGGTACAAATTTGTACCATCCTGACTGTGGATGTAGCTTTAATTTTTGGAAGTAAAGTGGATTTCTGCTTGACTTGCATTTGGGGAAAGAATACATTATAACTTATCTGATTCACTGTAATTAGTAAGTGAACAGACTAATTAGAAACATAATAATGCATCACAGATGGTACTTTGCTTTAATGTTGTGTGAGGTTTCAGAGCACATACTAATAGATATTTTGTAGTGTATTTCATAAAAATAATGATGTCTTAGTAATATGAGACCTGAACTACAGCCCTTGGTTATTAAATATTGCTGAGGAGTGAGGACAGACCACCAAATTACGGAGAGTGCAGATTAGTGGCAAGTGATTTAGTGAGTTTCTTTTGTGTCTTCGACATAAGGACAGGTGGGTAAATTCACTCCATTCTGGGCCATATCAGCTTTGCTGTCTGCAAACAATCATTTTATTTTTAATGTACGGGATAGTCACTAGTCTGTAAATGGATCAATTTTTGCTGGAGGCTTCTGTTAAAACCAATCCAGCATGAGAGACAAATATGGCTTTCCTACTTTCTCTGAGCTTGCTGGCTCATCCAATGGAAAAAAAAATTGGCTTCTCCCCAGAGGTTAGCTTTAGATTTCCATTTATATAAATGTTAAAATGTTAGGTAAATTTAATAATAATTTAATAGACTTGCCTGTGCCAGCCGTAGTAATGTAGGCCTTTACATATCTGTCATATGCATGCATTTGGTCACATTCACTGTTATTAAAAGTTTGAGGTCAGTATTTATCTTCTGCATTACAGTGTGGTGCTAAGGCTAAAAATATCCCAAAAAACAGAAGTGGATGTGAAGTTTTATGATTGTGTGTATGCCTAGCATCATTTTTGAGGGTTTTTGAACAAAGTGAATTACTTAGTTTCCCTGTCTTGTTAAAAGTAATAAGAAGAATGTGAGGTTGAAGAGAATGAGAACTGGATTAATCACCAAACTGGGATAAATACTAAATCCACTGGGGTTGGTTCATTGTGAGGCCAAGGACAATCAGAACTTAGCAAAGGAATTCCAAGTGAAAGCCAAGAGGTGGAGGGAAGGACAGGGAATAATCTTTTAAAGTTAGATCACATATTTACTGTAATTTTTTTAAAAAGGCAACACAGTTTTAGAAACATTGAGTGCTTATTGGGTTAATTTTTGTCAACAGGTTGTAAGGTGGAATCTATATTCCTGAACATTGAAGCTGTAAACACACACAGAGATAAACCAGAGGTAGGACAAGTGTTCAATACAAATACCTTAATGCGTTGCATTTTCTGAGATGATTATCATAAAAAAAAAGTCTGTTACCCACATTTAGAATTAATTTGCTACAGTTGCTGAGCATATTTAACTTTGCACACCAACTTTGTGTAACCAGTACGTTACTCATCTGGGTATTGTTTGCTAGATAAGTTTGTGAAAATAAATTTTACATTTCAGACATAAAGGTAAACTCTGGCTCTTGCATTCAGAAATATCAACTGTGTGTACATAATGCTTTTAAGTCAATGCCTTTTATATTTTTATGTTAGAAAAGACAAATGCCAAAGACTTAGTAATGATCAAAGCAATGTATAAGCTATTCAATCTGTTATGAACTAGCTTATCATGTATCTATTTCACTTACAAGTGCATGATAATGTATTTTAAACATTAGAGGAAAATTTTGATTGAGCTCTTTTTCCACTTTGGAATTGGCATAGTCCCCCATGCATTTCTAAAATGTGCAAGAGCTGGTGGTAGTAGGGGATTAATGAAGCCTGTCTTGCTTTAGGCTGACTGCAATTACAGGGCTTTGTCTATACTGAGAATTTTTAGCAATGCTAGCCAACGGTGGGAACACTAGCACAGAGAAGAAATGGGTGTTTTTATATATATCATCTTGACCACCTCAAAGCAAGCCCAGCCAACTCAGACTTCATTTTTTCACTGCAGAAGATAGGGGTGTTTTTCCACTGAGATACCTAACTTGAGATATCTCAGTGTAAAATTCTTAGTTTGGATGCAGCTAGTCAAGGTCAACCTGTATACCCCCCCAGTGGCTTGTATGTGTGTAATGTGTAAGCAGAGTTAGGAAGTCAGGTTTGTGGTAACTTATTGCATTCTTGCTGTATCAGAGTATGAGATGCTGTGTGGTGCCATGAGTTTGGGTTGACCATATTACTCCCAAAAGGCTCTGCCATTGATGGATTATAAAAGTTTACCCAAACTTGATAAGCATGGTGCTTATGCTACTAGCTTTTGTGTCTACTCCTTAAGTCTCCCTTGAAGTAAATTGGCTACCATTGCAAGGAATGATATGGGCAGAGTTGAGGCGAATCCATTAGTGCAGTATAGTCAATTTATATTATAGTGAGAAGTTGAGATTTGTGGTGGTGATCAGGGCCTTGTGTGTGTGAAGATACGAGTTTTTGTATGTAAGAAGTTTTATGGTCTTGGTTACACTGAGTTGACAAAACATTCATTGGCTTTAGTAGCGATTCTTGTCAAGTGCTTTCATTATGTATGTTTTTTACCATGTTTATGCTTCACCGCTTTCATTTCTTCTTTCCCTTCATGTGTTACATTTTGCCAGATTTTAATCTATTCCTCTTGGCGCAGCTTGCATATTATGCTGAAAGCCACTTAATAGGAACAGTGTAAATAGTGGGATGCTTTCTGGCAAACACTTCACCTCACCCATCAGATGGAATATTAAACAATTCTGACAAATTGAACATGTTGTTTACCGCCAAAATGCGTCTTTGTGAATATCCTTATTTTCAAGCCATGACTTTTTTTCAGTGATGATCCAAATGACTGTCTGATGCAGTTCAGATGAAGAGCTGCTGGTTAACCTGAGTTTGCCACAGTGTCTTACAGCTTGCCACGTATTTCCAGGAAATTGCTATTGGGAATATTCATTATGATGTTAACTTATTAAAAATGTTTATTTGGGAAGAGAACCTGTTGAGTCACTGCATTAGTTCTGAGTGTTATAAATAGGTGTACCTGAGCACCAAATGCTGTTACTTAGCACCCTTTGACCTGAAATGCTTCACAAACTACACATCTGGTACTGCTGAAACGTAATCATGTTTGGGGAGAAGGGCAGAAGTCAGGCAACAACCGTACAGCAGTGAGACTTGTGGAAAAGTTTGGCAAAGGATAGCAGGGTAAACCTGAGGTTTTTTTCAGGGAAGACCCATGGGGATTTTATTACCCATAGAGAGTCACAGGCGGGACCTGTAGTTGAGATGTCTTCTGAAAGACCCACACTGAGTAAACTTCATAATATACAGTTAAACTAACTAGGGAGGATGAAGGGCTAAGTTGATTAGGTCAGGATTAAAGTGTGGTATTAGAGAATACAATATTTCCTTTATGCTGTCTGTGTAAATGGTAACTGCTATGTAAAATCTAATTTTATTAAATGTATTAGCTCTTTATTAAAGCTGAACAGCTAAAGTATTTAATTTTAAAAAATTACCATTACATGTAATAAAATATAAAACAAACTGCTTTCCTAATAATTGTACTGTGTGCGCCTCTTAGATATAAATTACATATCAATACATAAGGCATGCTACAGTGCATAGCAGATGTTGAAAAAACTGTTTTAAAATACTTTATGTACTCTAAGAAGAATTCAAGACTGTCATTTTTACATTGCAAAAATACGTATAAAGGAGTAGAATAACTGACTTTCCTATGTTTTCTATAATAAAGATAATCTATCTGAATCTGGACTGCAGATCTGACTGTTCATGTACAGTAGCATCAGATTTGTAATGACTTCAGTCTCTATCTGGGTAGGATGAAGGAGGAGTGATCTTTGTTTTTTCCCATAATAAATCTTATGGAACTACTTCAACAATCATTTGAGTTCTCTCTCTGATGTTTTGGATTTTATTTCAGAAAGCAAGTTTAATGCCTTTTGTCTGGCAGTAAAATCTGTTTCCTTTGCTACATCTTAGTCCATAAATTAGAGATAGGATGGTTATTCATTGCAAAAACTCATTTTAGGCTGAGTTAATTCAGTTTTTATCGTAAAAAGAAAAGAGAAATTTGCTCCGCCTAACACAGAATCAGGGAGGTGAACAAAGAAAGAAACATGTAACCCAACTGCCCAAAGGCTTTTTTTTTTTTTTAAATGGAAAAAATATTTTTGGAATTGAATTTTCTTTGGTTTGAAGAATGAATTGATCTTTCAAACTGAACCTGAATGCACATCACTTGGTTTTTATTTAAAGCAGTAGGGAGGGGTACTAGGTTAGCAGGTACTTTATGTTTGAATTTGGTGATACTGTTGTAAGCCCCCAACTTGAGCTGCATGGGTGCAGCCAACATCAAGCTTATCAGCTAAACTGTCTACCCTTTGAACGCGTGCTGCATTGAACATGGGCAATGCTGTGTAACTTCTGCAAAATAATCAGATGTCTACCCATAGGTTGCAAACTTACCATTTTAGTCTTGGAGGGATTTTGTCATAATTCACCGCATCAGGGGTAGTTTTTGTATTCTAAACTAGCTATATTACAAGTAAAGTGAAGATCATGCTATGGAAATGCAGTGTATGGCTCCAGTTCAGGAAAGTATTGCTATTCAGGGAAATCAGTTTACACACTCAACTCCCATTGAAATCAAGTATGTGCTCAGTGGTTTTCCTGGGTAGGAATAGATTTAAGCACATGCTTAAGAGTATTCCTGATTGGGGACTATAATAGGAATCCTCTACGTGTGAATAACTGAAATGTTAGCAATAAGATTTATGTAGGATTGATAGTTATTTTATATAAGTTGTACTGTTGTATGTACTAATGCATTAAAAAGCTGTTACTTCACTGAATTTTCTGAGTGAAAAATCTTTTGTTGAAGTGCAGCTGTGTACTTGTGAAGGAAGCTGATTGATATTTTACTGCTGCTTATTGCTGCATGATAAATATTCTCCTCTGTATTTTTATTATTATGCAGAATGTAGACATTTCCAGACCTCCTGAGGAAGCCCTTGTAACAGTCCCTGCTCACCAGTGAACCTGTGTCCAGATCAGCTATCAAATGTGTGGTGCTGTTTTCATCATTACTTTAAAATACATCTTAAAAAAAAATCATTCCAATCACTTTGAAATCAATTACAAAAATAATATTTAAATCATTGTACAGCACATAACGTCTAAAATTGTCCAGGCAAAGTGAAACTGTATTATACTAATTCACTGTGGATAAATTGTTGAACCTTAATTGGCTGTTGTTTGCCTTTTTTTTTTTTTTTTTTTTTTAAAGATTTCTATAATCCTGTGATCTTGCAGCTTTATTTTTTAAATTGATTTTTTTTAGGTCCAGTAACTGTTGGACTTTAGATGAAGTATGAAAGCTACGATGCATAACATACTGTGTGTGATAAGCACAAGCTGGGCACAAGTAGTACTTGTTTCCCTGACCTTGGGAGTGATTGGACTGTTAAATGTAGCAGAAAATAACATTTCCATAGTTAGCAAAAAATTTAGTTCTGCTGTTCCATAGTGCTAGTGTGGTAGATCTGCTAGATTACCAAACTCTTTAATGATCTATATTTGGAGAGGTGGCGAGCAAGTTGAAGCTTATTTTATTCCAGACTTCAAACATAATGAGGAGAAGTATATGAGTAGTTTCATGTGTGTGGTTTTTCTTAAAATATATTTCTGCATTGGGTGGATGGCAGAGTTCTCTGTGCACATAGTAACAATTTTCATTTGGTTTCTTTTGTTTAGGAATTAATATAGAAACACAGAATCTTAAAGTTCCCTATTCATGGTCTGGCAAGCAGCAGCCACACTTATTCTTAGTAGTATGCTGCTCCTAGCACATATGTGGGTGACCTTTGAGTCTTCATGGCAATAGTGCATACATCTTGTCAGAGCTTTCCTTGGGTACATTACAATACAAAGGGCAATGGCCATTTCAGATTAGTTTGTACCTAGATTTTAATTTATACTTTAAAAAAAAGAAAAAAAGGTTGGGTGGAGGTTGTCCTGGTCAAAATGGATGCACACACCTCCGAAGCATTAATAGAACATTTGTGTGAAAGATGGCATGTTTACTACTGATTGTCAAGCAGTCATTCACCAAGAGAGTGCAACATGCCAGTGTCTAAAATCCTTTACACAATGTACAAAAGGAGACTGTAGCTCATTTGAAAGTTTGAGTAGCAGCGTGACCTTGCTGTTTTTTGGTGATAGAGGCCAAATTAACATAAATTAGAAGTGTCTGAGTAACAGGGGCCGCTTTGTTTTCATAGCATCGAATCTTGGAAAATAGGCTGTTTTCTAAGCAATTGCTTTTCATCTAAAAGTATCACAAATCCCTTGATGTGTAAATTGTTTGTGCAGTTAATAGGTCTATTTCTCCAGCTTGTACATTTTTTACAAAAATTTTGCATTTTGGTGAAATTAACTATTTGCTTTTTTTGATGTTTACTGTTGAGGTCATGTACCCCATTATGAACTCCTATATATGATAGTGATACGGATTAAGTGATAGCTAGCTGGCTCCTGCAAATAACCTATTGTACAGATAAAATCCTAGTGTAGAATTTGAAGTTTCAGGTGATAACATGTATCACTGGATAGGACATTAGACTTGGAGTCAAGTGACCTGGGTTCTGTTCCTGTCGCTGCCATGGGTATCCTTGAGAGGTTTGCAGGGAAGTTAGATATGTAAAACAGTAACAAGATAGTGAGTAAATGAGAGAGATGATTTAGTTGGGGATTGGTCCTGCTTTGAGCAGGGGGTTGGACTAGATGACCTCCTGAGGTCCCTTCCAACCCTGATATTCTATGATTCTATGAGAGAGAGTGTGGCCCATTACTAAGGAGAATCCCATGCAATTGTAAATATATATTCAAAGTTAACTTAAAGCTGCTTCTGCTGTCTAATGCCTGTAATACTTCTATCCTGCAGGTGTAGGTATGAATCAGTAAGTAGTTCTAAGAGGACTTTTTCAGTTTGTATAACTGCCTGGATGTGGCAATGGAGTAAGTGGTTCAATAACAGTTTACAGTTATTGTAGCATTAGAGAAAGCCCTAGTAGACGACAGAATGGATTTTTAACCCAGGGCTGATTGTACAGAGCTCCAAGGGAAATCAGCTAGTTATAGTGCCTAAGCTGCTATAGTACACTGATTTAAAAGAACTCTTCATTTATTTTTATGTATTATTTTACCTTTTGGGTTTTGGATGTGAATGCTTTTAACAAATTTAGTCTGGTATTTTTTTATTTTTATTTTGTGTGTGGGGTAAACTGGCCATGTCTGCATTCAGTGTATGTAGCAACTCCTTATCTGGCTTCTTTCTGAAAAATACTGTCCTCCCTACTTCATTCCTTCCAGACTCGTTTTTCTTGCAAACCAAGTATATACGGAGACAGGCATAAGCCCATCTTGGCAGTCTCAATAGTTGCACAATTCCTGCCAGTAAAAAGACACTATTAAGCTCGCTCCCATCCTGGTTCCATCTACTCTCACAGATACGGTTGCCATAGGTAGCCGAGATGAATCCCTAGAAGATTTAGAACTTCTCATTACCAGACAGTGTAGCTACGCCATCCTTCCTCTCCCTGCCCAAATCCTTTCTCCCTCATTGCACTCTTTCTGATAGAGATGTCTTCCTCTTTTTTCTCTTAGCCTCCATCTAGTACAGCATATAGTCTACTCCCACAACTTCTTGATCTCCTCTTATTTTCCCTGGGATTTCCTGGAATTTGGCTTCTTGCCTACCATCTCTTTGAATCAATAGCAAATGCCCAGCCGTCAAGATATTGCAGCCAATACTGGGGGGCTCTCAGGCAACTCACACAGACAATCCTTCAATAACTTAGTCCCAAGAGCCTGGTGGATGTGTCATTTTGATCCAAGTGTTGCTCAAGTTATTCTGAAAAATATGGACAGATTGAACAAATACCATCATCATTGCTCGTTTGTGACCATTCAAGGATTGGCTTGCTAAAGGCCAAATATCCATAGACAGGTGTACTTGTGGCACCTTAGAGACTAACCAATTTATCTGAGCATAAGCTTTCGTGAGCTACAGCTCACTTCTTCGGATGCATACTGTAGCTCACGAAAGCTTAGGCTCAAATAAATTGGTTAGTCTCTAAGGTGCCAAAAGTACTCCTTTTCTTTTTGCGAATACAGACTAACACGGCTGTTACTCTGAAACCTGTCATAGACAGGTGTTGACTCCAAATCCCTTGTAGTCTCTCAAAAACAGGGCAGTCACTCTTCTCTCCAGAATTTGGCCTCTGCTGGCTTGTTGCACAAGAGATTATTGCCTCAATAAAAAGGAGTCTCTGAAAAGATCATAAATGCTCACTTCAACTCCTGGAACCCCCTGATCCCATTAAGAGTTCAGCTTTCAGTGTCTTCAGAATGACTTATTGAATTTCCTCTGGAGAGATTCCGTATGGGCTTAGTTGGGTTTCAGGGTTTGGTTTCAGGCTTGCCAGTAACTTAACTTCCACAGAGTGATGTTTCCATAATTCTCTCACGAGACTCATATCTCCTCTAAGATACGTTGCCTTAGTCTTGAGTCTTAACCAAGTTTTAATAACATTATTGGAACCAGTCCCTTGAGCCTACAGGCACATCTCTGATTAGACTGTAAACTCTTAGGTTCTGCTTGCTTACTGTTTCAGCAAGGAGAGTCAGTGAGCTAACAGACCTCACTTACCACACTCTCACACATTGTCTTCCTCAGTTTTAAGATGGTATTCCTTACTGAAACATCTTCCAGGAACAGGACTGTTACCCAATTTTATGGAAATGAAAGGTGGTCTTGTTCTTGATTCTCTGCTGGGCAGAGGAACAGATTCACTGCCTGGAGGTCAAAAAGCCTACAACAAGTCATCAGGGCTCCGGCACTAGTCTTTTCAGAAACCTTAGCCACTTCAGAGTGTGTGAGAAAATATTCTCCATGTCTATCCAATGCTATAAATGCTGATTTGAAATAAAGGGAATGAATTAAAATAGAGAGGTTTTAAAAAAGAAAAAGTGGGGGTGCCCTCAACTTGAGAAAAAATCAGGCTTTTTTTCTACATACCATTTTCACAAGTAAGAGCTAGATTTCTGTCACTGAAATAGGGTAGAGGAAAAAACGGATGTATCTGTTTTTCAATTATTTTTCTGTGTGCGCTTTTGACCGCACTCTATGTGTAGTCAGTTTAGCTGTTTCCTCTGTGGATAAGTCACTGTATATTTTCTTATTAATGTAGGTTTTTACAGATCAACAAGAATATTTTTAAAGGCAAATATGAGTTTAAAACCACAAAAATTGACTAGCAGTTGTGATTGTTGGGCATATTGGCAGGTGTAGAACCCTGAAACACATTTAAACGTATTTTTGAAAATGAATTGTTTTCCAGTAACTTGATAGTATCCCATTAAGTATAATAAAGACCTGAGTTGCTTGCAACTAATCATCCCAAAATTAATTTTCAACTCATTTTTTAATTTTTCTTTTTAAATCAAGTCATTGACTGGGTGTGTGCTGTAGAGGAGGAGCTTGATAAACCTACTAAAAGTGCCAACTCTTATTATTTAATAGTTGTACTGCAATAGCTTTGCCCCCTCATTGCCCTTTAGACCAAAACAAAATAAATAAAGAAGTTCAAATATCTTTTTAGACTACATAGAAAGATCGTTTATTTTCCTGGTGAAATTTGTGCAATTCATGAAAATCTGAGGTGCAGGAATAAAAGCAAATTCAGATAGAGTGTGCAGTAAAGGTAGTTTATAATGTTAATAGTAGGAGAGTGGCTTTATGGTTAAAACACAGAACTGGGAGATGGTCTGTGGCAAAGTCAACAATAGCTGCTATGTTTCCCATCCATTGATAACAGGCCTGATGGAAAGCCAGCGGGAGTTTTTCCTGTGGCATCACTGGTCTTTGCAGCTGGGGTTTCCTCTTTCTTTTAAACAGGATGAGTTCTTGAAAGAAAGGGCTTTACATTAGAGAACGCTTTGCAAAACTTTTCTGCCATCTTCTTCCCCAAGTTCTGTAGACTTGTTACTTCTCAGTTAAAATTTATATGGTTTCAGAGTGAAACTAGAGTGGTATAGAAACTTCACATGCTATCCAAACAGCTTTGGGGACAGTATTGGAGTCAGATGGTAGAAAAAGTGGTTTTAAAATCACATCTAAACGCCACGCAGTGGCTCATATCCCCATAATATGAATGATAGTATCTAATGCCCTAACAGTAATTGTATGCTTGTGGGGAGGGGAGAATAGACCCTTCAGTTTTATTTACATTTTGCTTATCCAGCAAATAACCTTGAATGTAACCTTGGTTTTGTGAAACCAGAGAAGATAGTTAATTAAAAAACACTTTCTCTAAGACTGCAGAAACCAACAAAAATGAAATCACTCCATTTCAGTTAATATAAAATCCGCTACTAGCTAATAAAACTTGAAATATGAACAGTTACTATTTTGGGGATGAGTAAGTGAGTAACTCTGGGACCTGACCCATTTTCCCCATCTTAGTCAAGCAGGAACTAATCCCAGAGGTGTGTGACAGTTATCGCTAAGTGCATAGTGCTACCTCATTTTCCTTGGGAGTCTTTGCAAGGTTGTATCTGAGGTTATGCTCGTACCAGGAGTGCAGGTCCAGGTAAACTGACATAGTGCACAGTGTGGACAAGGAACCACATCTTTAAAGATAAACTTAATAAGACACATGCTCAGTGGACAGCATGAGAGTGTTTTAACAGCTGGTGTAATGGTGTTTTAAAAGATGTCCTAACGGATGCTTTTTTATTGGCAGCAAAGAAGGTCTGTGATCTGGTATTAGCGAGTTGGCTTTATAGAGAACTTAATAGCTAGCATAAAGTTTTAATCATGGTTTTTGAACTCTATATACTGGCTGGTGTAGGCTGGGCCTTATGTCTCATTTTATTAAGTCTTCTGAGAAAATGTGTCCAAAGTGTTGTGTAAAAAAACCAAATTCTGTCTGTCTTTTGCCCTTTGTGATGTGCCATAGACTGAGTAAAAACCTACTGCAAACAAGGGAGAAACTTTGCTTAAATCTTCTTTCTGTCTTTGGCTTGCAGAATGTAGGTGTGGATCGCTCGAGAGAGGAAGCCTTGAGGACAGTACCTAATCATCTGTAACTGCCATGGACCATGACAACATCCCCTGCCTGCTACAGAAGCACTAAGGAAATAGCTCAGGTACATGAGACTGGAGAAGACATCCAAGGAGGTCAAGCAATGTCACATGCACGCACTCCCTCTGACTGTAAGGCTTTTAGAATGTGATTCAATGACTTGTGGGAAAACCCACGATTCTGGAGGACTCTTAATACTGAAAGTTGAAATGTGCAAGACTGGAAATAGTTATGGGAAACCCAGTGAAGTTGCTATTAATTTTTCTTCTGTGAATATGCAGTTTTTCAACTGTTTTTATTCTTCACCTGTGGATCATGCAAGATTGTTAATTGCTCTTCTCGGCTTACTGTCAAGTTTTAACTGAACTTTTACTTTTTTCAATAATTGCTTTTCTAAGAGTACCTCTTATTTTTACTGTGAATGACTGCCTAGAGTTACATGACTTTTTTTTAGTGTGTGTGTATTTTTTTTTTTAATGTGAAATTCTGCATTTAATGCATTGGAGGCTCCATTTGATACAAAACCACTTCATACTGGAAGCTTCTCAAGTACTCTTTTTTCATCCTCTATCGATGTTTGAGCATAGTTCAGGTGTTGCAAAGCACCGTGTATGTGTGTCTTTTGAAATGGGGATGCTTTCCCCTTTGCCAAGAAAAATATTTGATTATATATATTAAATTATATTATATTGACAGCGAGAGAGGCTTTGCTATCACAGTAAGTTTCTTTATCTTCTCCATGCAAAATGGCATTTTGTACCATGGTGAGGGTACACTATTATACAGTTGATTGTTATGGAAGGATGGTTTTAAGTACAGATAGCTGGCTTGTTAATAGTCTAATTACCCTAGAAAGAGATTATAAAGGGTAAGATGACAGATATCTTTCAGAATATCTGTACTATCCAGGTTAAGCAGCCTTTCCAGGAGAGGACACATCTTCCACATTCAGGGTGAAATATACTCCCATGCAGTGGGCCCTCAGAAGACCCAATGCATCACTTTAATGCAGTAAAACTTCAATGTAAACCCTAAATGGGCTCTAATAGAGTGAATTTCACCCTAAAAGTATAAGGTTTTCTATGTGGGAGCATTAAGTAAATAGAGGAGGAGAATGTTAAAATAGGATTTTAGCCTCCGGAGAATTGTATAAGTACAAAAACCCTTGAGTGAATTTGGAAATTGATTTTTTTTAAAATGTCATCTCTGTATTTTGTTTTTAAAATCTTTTTTAACTTTCTGTGAAATTGCAAATGCATTTATGTCCAATGCTAAAAAGTGGTAGAATTTTCTATGCATGTCAATGCCACTCACTACCTTCCTTGTTCCAAGCCAATATATATATATAGTGTACATGTGTTGCTGGATGATAGGATTTAGTTAGCAATACCTAATTGTTAATGAAATGAAGAAAGCTGCCATTAGTTATTGGAGTATCTTTTTGATGTTTGTATTATTGGGTCGTTAATTCAACTCTTGCATTTATCCGTTAATACGTTTAGTTGAATTTCAGTGTAGAGAACTGGGTTCTGTCCAAGTAGCTTGCAGGCAGGGGCTAAATTGTTTTTTGTTTTATGCAGGGCAGGGGACTCTAATATGTGCTGCTGTTGTGATTTGTTTTATTAAGCTAGTCTTAGCAATATAGTCAATGTACTGGAAGTAAGCCATATAGCTAGATTTCATTTCAGAAAACAAATGCATAGGATATCAAAAACACTCGCTTGGAACCTTAGCATCAAAAGCTTTTTGTCTGTAATCCATGCAACCAGTAATATGCATTTAAAAGTAAATAATATATTTATTTAGATGTATTAATTGTTATTGTCTAAGGTTAGAGCACAAAGCACTGCTAAGACATTTATTGATGCACAGCAAAACAAACCCTAAAGATGCTTATATTGGAGAGGGAAGAGATGCTATATAGTGGGTTCCCTTCTGATCACCTATTTGTTCATAGTTCAGAAGAACAGACCTATCCTCTACTGTGCCCTGTTTCCTCTGGATCTGGGCCACACGATCTACAGTAGGGATTATTTATGTTTAATGATGGTAAATTGAGGAAGTCTAGCTTTTATCCATAGTTATCCAAGGCAGATTCCCAAATATTATTTTCTTAATGTGCTTTGAAAAGCAGAGGTTTACCAAGACAGAGTTTGGACTACTGTAGTTTTGAGCTTGGTTCTAGCAAAGGAAGCATGGTTATAAAAGGGAAATGTTTCCCTATATGAGTTTTTAATCTCAGAACTTTCAAAGGTGCTGTAAAATTCTATATGGCTAAATGTTTTATGTATAGTAGATATTTTTATAGACTGCTTTTAAATATACTGTGATCAGAGTGGTTGCTCATTTGCAGGATGGATATACTGTATAGTAAAAAATCATTGTACACAAGTGTGAATAAATTGTATGTCAGTACTTGAAAATAAAAAGGAGAATCTGAAGCTGTCAGTTCTATTTTAATTTACAAATAATGTCATTGACTGCATCTTAGTTAGTAAAAAACAAAAAATACCAGAATGCAAAAATAAGTAAATGATCACCCCTATCTCACCTGGAAAAATTGAGAGTTCTGGAAATATATTGCAAGAATTACTCCTTACTATCTAAAAGCGGTATACATATTCCCATCTGGTTTGGAAAAGTGAGTCATCATCCAGAGGGGTTAATTTCTAAGCATGGCCTAGTATGTTTGTTTTATGTTGCAATGATTGGATGGGATTAAACTAACCTTTCTGACATGACTGGCCTTCAGCTTAATCTTCTAGGCAAAATGAATCTCGTGTGATCTTTGAGCCAAGTAATAAAGATCAAACATTAAAACTCAAGATATGTGTTTCTTTCCTTGTCCCCTTAAACCAGTTATGCTACAGTAACATTTAGAGTTGTGTAAATATCTCCTCAGGTCAACACACTTTATGAATTTGTCCACTGTGGAAGGCTGTGAAATACATTTTGTGAAAAGTATCTCAGGTGGAGAGAGGTGTGAGAGTAAAGGTTAAGTTCATTTCATCATCATCTGCTGCTGCAAAAAGAGGTGAGAGGTACTGATTATACTACCTACAATATGTGAGACAAGCTGAGAACTGCTCAGATTGGCAAAAATCTTCTGCAATAGCAATAGTTCAGATTTAAAATAGAAGAGCAAGTCAAAAGTCATGTGAAATTATGATTGTAAATTGAGGCTTTGTGAATTTCAATGAAAATTAACTGTTACGTGTTGTCATTCTAAATGTTTAGGATTTGTGACATTCTAAAACAGGACAACTTTGGTTTCTTTTTAAAAAAGATTAATTCTCATCTACCTGATAGTCTTCAGTACCAGTAGCTGCAAATTAGTAAGTAAAATGTTACTCTGCTGTAGCATTTGGATTTAAATAGTCCATTATGCATGTATAAATTGCATTGAGATGTTTTTTCTATTTCTGTTGCAGTACATGAGAAGGCAAAACTTAACAGTGGTCATTTGTCTAGACTGGGGGTTCTCAAACTTGTTCATATCGAGAAGCACTGCTTACTGTGTTGTGACCACCTCTCCCATTCACACCTCCTCTTTGGAAAGTACTGATCGCTACTAGCTTTAGTCCCTCTTGGTGGCATATTATCTACCCCAGCAATTGCTATACCCTTCTCCTCAAATGTAGTAACATTCTTTATTAGAGGTAACTCATTTCCAAATGCCTTTTTTAAAAAGGCCTTGAGACTCCTCTTTGCAGTGAATTGTATGGACACATTTAGCAGCAGCTGGAACTAAGAACACCAGTCATCTCTCCAGACCAGTTTGGGAACCAGATAGAAAATAACTGCAATCTTCCATAAGGGGGCCTACATGCACAGTGATTACAGGAAAGAAGGTATGTAATAAAGATTGTAAATATCTGTATTTAATTATTGGCTGATGCTGATAGTGATCTAACACCTTAGTCATTTCCATTTATCAGTGGGGAATTAGACTGTCACTTAAGTAGCAATACATCAAGTATCTATAGTGACTTAAACCTGAACTATTTATTGTGCTGATGCAGATAAAGATTGCAATGAGTGTCTGGTTACTTGTTGGAGGGTACATTAGCTCCCCTTGCATGAACTGGTCCGTTAAGCCTCCTGCTACATTGATGTGCATGTGTGGACACCAACTGGCTGAGGCAGGCACTCCCAGGAAGTCATTTCAGCATCTCCTACCAACTAGAATGATGTGCAAGAAAAGAGAGCTTTGTAGAGCAGGGTCATTTTGAAAGAGGAGCATGGGTAAATCTAACCAGTTAGAATTCTATTTTCTTTGGACAAATTTTAAAATTCCTTCTTTCCTTGGTTAAAGCAGATACACATTTTCCCTTCTTGAAGGCCTATCCCCAAAGGATGTTGCATTGTGTTGAGAGCCTGATTTGAAACTGTATTTGTTAGCATGCATCTCTACCATTCTGAAGCATCCGTAGGCACACCAATCTCAAATATAAAGAACAAGAGTGTAGCCAGGTAAAACATACCTAAGCTTTCTCTGTTCTGGTGATTTGCCCCCTTTTCAGCCATTGTTCTGTCACCTCTGCTTGAAACCATAAATGGCACTTTACATTTATTTTTGTTCTTCCTACACTGAGGGTTTGCACTTATGCAGCTGATATTAGTGCAAATCCCCAGTGTGTAGGCAGACCCTTCTATATGAAATAAAATGCCAATCTGGGTCTGCCTATATTAACCTGAATTTATTATGAGAACACTGAAGCTCCAGCTGTAGGTCCCAACTTTATAAAGTAGCACTGCTTTTATAAAAACAAAACCAAGAATGTATGACATGATTGAGTCCACAGTGGAGCCTCACTTAAAAGGCCCGAGCAGTCTTCCTGTTTCAGTAGTACAGTGCTACGGAGGTTTCTTCTGCCTGAGGCTGAAGGTATAGTTGCACTTTGAGCTGAAACTGTAAATTCCAGCTTGAAGAGACATACCCAAGCTAGTGGGCTCAAAAATAGCATAGTAGCGGCAGGAGGGGCTAGCAGCACCAAGTACATATGTGTTTGAGCTGCTACATATGTACTTGGGGCAGCTAGCCCCTGCTGCTGCTGTGGCTACACTTTTTTTTTTTTTTAGCATGCACTAGTGCGGGTATGTCGCCTTGAGCTGGAATTTACACTTCCAGCTCCAAGTGTAGACATACTCCAGGTTTTGCTATCCTTTCACTATATGTTCTGTAAAATACGGTGAAGTATTACAATTAACAAAACTATATTTTGTGATTGCTTACTCACGGATTTGCAAAATTAAATCTTGCTATCTCTGGCAAATCTAGTGCAGAAAGGTTTTATTGTAGTTAAATGAACCATACTCACCTTCTGGCAAATATTCCATGTTTAAGCACTGGACTCACTAGAAAGTTCTTCTGAAACTAACAGGACTTTTCTTAGCATAGTTCTGTAGTTTATCACAGTACCTCAGGAAGGTTTTCAATAGGATATTCTCATGTTCAATAACAATAGTTCTAAATCCTTAGAGGACCCCCCTCAATTTTTTTGGTGCATCTTGGATAAAGAAATGCAAAAGAGGAAATGATTCCCTTTTGGTCTCAGCATAGGGGCTTGTAGCCATTTATGTGCACTTAGGTACATTTGATTGTTGAACTAATGAGCAGTTTTGATTATGAAATTAACATTTATATTGATTCTGTGCAGAAGATGATTTTCTAAACTTAATGGACATTAGGCTAATAAATATGCTGAAGCACCTACACTTAATGGTTGTGTCTCACACATACGCGTATGCTGTCTTCTGTGACAATCTGATAGGTAACTGTTTTTATTCTTGCTGTGTAGCAAGCACTATTTGCTAGGCTAATAGCAGTTACATAGCTGTGGAATTTTCTTACCAGTTAGCAAATCAGGGCCCTCTTTTATGCAATAAACTTAGACAGCAGCACTTCAGTATTTGATCTATCCACTAGTTTAAGGTCCATAGCATGCTATGGGCCCAGTTATTTTATGTAGTAGAGCAAGTGGTGTATATCTTGCTCTATCATTAATGTTGGTTATGATCCAAATGATTCAACTTTCTGTTTACTTGGAAGTAGACCTGTGTGAACTAGTTTTGTAAGTGGTTTAACCGAGGTGAATTCTTTTCCCCCCCATCATGTACAGATGTTATTGAACTGTGAAAAGTTCACATGTGGTTATAACCTAAGTGGAAGCATGGCTTTGTTTTAACATCAGTTGTGCTGAAACACATGGAGCCACAGATGTTCTATTTGAAGGACATAGGTTGCTATTCCATATAAATCACCAGCTGGCAGTTCAATGGAAATGTTCCATCTCTGAAAGGCCAGGTAAGTGGACCCAATATTCCATATAATAGCTGAACCAGGGCTTTTTTTGTAAGAGGCAGTGATCTTATTGCTCATGTCTATTAATAAATGCACTTTAATATATTATACTTATAGCAGTGGAAACTTGTACTTCAGTCTCTAAAAATTTACTTCTAGGAAGTGGGTTGTTGCCAGATACTTGGGCCAGAACATCTGATGTGTATGTTTGCCAAGGATAAATATTTAGAGTAACCAATGAAGCCTAGCACATGGAAAAAAGATGTCATATAATGAATGGGAACTACTTTCTTTTTTCCTAATGTAACCCATCCTTTTGAGTTACACTGCAGGTGGAAGGTTGTAGCAGTTAATCTCGTAACTACTGTAATGATGCAGGATAGAAAGGAGATGTAATATTGGTTGGAGGAGATAAGAATGATTAAATACTGCTGAATATAACTAATTTATGTTTCAAAAACTACACACACACTGAGGCTAAAGTTAGAGAATAGCCACAGACAACAAACACATTTGTTACTTAACTGTGCTATGAAATTGTTTGGCACAGAATACTCTGGACGTCCCACAGTTACATGAGTTCTTAAAATATTGGATGGTGTCTTACAATAGTTTAAGAGTATTAGTTCGTAATGAGCCAACATCTGACACGAAGAGAAACTAGTGTTGGGTAGAGTATCCTTAAAAAAAATCTTTGCGTTTTAAATCAGGAATGTTTCTATAATCTCAGTTTACCTTTTACAATAGATACACTTTTTCCTCCAAAATGACTAATTGCTAAAATCACAAAAAGTTTAATAACTTCAAATAATTTTACTGAAGATGAATAAAAGGGCCTCAACCATATTTAAAAAAAGACAATCTGTTTTCTAAAGTCTTGTTTCCAGAGCAAAATATACAGCATATATATATATATACACACACACATACATTTAAGTAACCAAACACAAAATTTACATTTTGCCAATTAATGCACACGATTCTTCATTTCTTAAACCTGACCATGCAAAAAACCACTGCCAGTTAATCAACAGTAAGACATTTTTCATGCTACCGTATATTATTTTCAAGGAAAGGTATAGAGACATGTCACTTAGCGTTTGGAAGCCTCTGTTTACAATATTTAACCCCAAATGTTCAGAGACTATTTATCCAGGATCTGTTCAAATTTAGGGTTAATAAAAGAGAATCCTGCAAATGCAGACTGATCCATAGATTCGATCAAGTTTTTGTCACTGTAAGATAACCGTGCCTTCTCACTCAGAAACTCTCGGTCAAAGTTGTTGTAGTCACTTGCTGATTTCTGTGTTAAACAAAGAGGGTGGAAATAGTTAGTGGCTTCTTTAGCGAAGCTGTGCAGAAAAGCAAAGAGAAAAAGTTTAAAAACCTGTAACTGTGAGCACAACGTTACATATAGTAAATGAAGTATTGTAAGATCTTGAATCCCCCCAGAACATAACTCTGAAAATATGCTTCGGTAATCACCCCAGTAGTTCTAATCATTGGAAGAGTATTAAATCACACTCTTTTACTGATGAAAACTCAAGCCAAGCTAGTGAGAAGGATGTTAAGTAATGCTTTGTAGAAGCTTGAAAAGGTTAGACATCTGTAGATGTTCCTGAAAGTGTCAATCTTTCTACATTTACTTTGTGGGAAGCTCACTTTGAGGTAGATAAACACATCCAGCATTTCAACAGCAAAAGGCAGTTCATTTTAGTCATACTTGTTGGCCTATCAGTTACCGTTTTAACTAACGATCTTACACTGTGCTAGCAGATGATGGAGAAAACCAGAACACGCATCTGTTGAGTTGTTCATTCTCCATCAATCAAAAGATTCCATGATTATCACTAAGAGGTTTAGACATGTTCTGAGATGTGCTTTTTTAAAAGTAGTATTGCCAGAACTCCATCATGGCTTAGAGGCTCTCTATAGGGGAGGAGATATCTAAGTAGTAATTAAAGGCAAATAATTAGGCTTAGATAGCTCCTTCTGGTGTGTACATAGAGGGAAAGAGCCATGTAAATACCAAACAAAGAAAAAGCTACAGCTGAGAATGAGTACTAGCCAACTTAATATGGGCTACAACACACTTGTGTGTAGATAGCTTTGGTATTACTACTGGAACATAATCAATAAAATGGACACCAAAGAACTTAACAGTTAAACTGTGCCTATGATGGAGAATAGAAATCCTTTCTTCCCCCTGGATATTAAAAGGAAACTGATTTGAGCTGGTGTGGAACACTTGCATTTCCTAGACTGCTATTAGATAGACTGTTGCCTCATGTTTTGGTTACTGTTCCACATGGTGCAAAATGAAGTGCTCTACGTATGCCTATGGAAGATTCCTAATCCATGTATATCAGGAAGGATTAAACATATATTGAGAAATGCAGTCATTGTTCAGATGTTTTGGTATGAGTGGCAGTGGTAATGATTGATTCTTTATAATAGAATATACTATTTATACTTATCTTAAAGTGTCATCTCAAATGGTAGTATGAGATTATTAATTAATAATCTTTTATTATGTGAGCAATCCCACACTATGTTTGATAACATGTAAGTACAGGATGCTCTGCAATGGAAAAATCTACAGCTGGTCCAACTATTTATTTCACTGAAAAATCCTTATATCCACCTGTAGTTCATTTCCCCCATTCAGCTTTAACTAATGAACTGTTCACATTCCTTTCCATCTGTTATTTAAAAAAAAAAAAAAGCTTGAAGGTTTCGTGTTTCTTCAACAAGCATCTTTACTAGTGGCATCCTCATAGCCATACTATCTAACAGTTTTTGTTTATGTCACCACCTGTCTCTAGTTTCAGGAATGAGAATTGGGAAACTCTGAATGACAGCAGCAGCTCTGGCTCTTACAGTCAATATGAATCATCGGGGTAACCAGCTCTGTGACAACAGTGCAAAACCACCATGTAGAGTACAGTAAATGTTGGAACGATACATACCACTTTTGGTTTGAAAGGAGGCTCTATCTCCCTCTTCTCTAGTGCTGTCCAGTTGATTGTTTTGAAGAAAGAATGCTCCTTGATGTTCCCAGTAATTCCTAGTCTCTTTGTTGGATCCCTTTCAAAGAGCTTTGAAATAAAGTGTGTATAAGATTGAGTTCTGTATCCTTACACCTCCTCCGTGGGAAAGGGAACACAGGGCTTTAGCTGGTACTGGGGGTACATGGGCACTAACAAAGACAGTGGAAGTGAATTGTACGTACTGTTGACAGGAACAGGTAGTCCACTGACAGTGAAAACGAAGTATGTCTGTGCAGCAATCACACAGAGTGATTGCAGTTCACGTAGACATACCTCATCTAACTTGAATCGAGCTAGCTCCGGTACTCAAGCAATGAAGCTGTGGCAGCATGGGCTTCAACATAGGCAGTATAAACCCATCTAAGTCCCTGTTTAACTATTCCTGGGGTAGCCTGGGCTGAAGTGCAATGCTCCTGCAGCTTCACTGTTCCAGTACCTCAGCATGCACTGTGACTGCAGACCAGACAGACCTTAAGGGCTTCCCTGTCCCCTCTAACACAGTATAGATATGGGCTTAAACTGAAACCAAAGCGGATTTAGGACTAAGGCTAGTCAATTTTAAACCTTTCACAGAAGTGAAATATTTTTATTAATGAGGAGATATTTTACTGAAAGTGCAATTTGGTGAAGTTAGTGCCAGCTTCCCTTCCCTTAATACAAATGTAACAGTAGGATCTACCAACTGTGTCACAGCCAACACCTACCTTCTCTAGTAGGCCCTTTGATTCCTTGGTAATCCACCGCGGGTAGTGAGGCGTGTCCACTCGAATTGACTCGAACAACTCATCCTCATCATCGCCATGGAAAGGAGATTGTCCAATAAGCATCTCATACAGCAAGACTCCAAATGACCACCAATCCACAGAAAATGTGTACTTCAAGCCTTGAAGAATCTGTTGCCATGACAAGACGTGCAGGGGAGAGAAACACAAATTTTAATAAGGAAATGCTACCTCCAGAGGCTCACTTAACTAGGCCCGCAAAGACTTAAAAATAATTTTTTGATCATGTCCAAAAATCACAGTCTGCATCTTAAAAGGTTAAATCAGCTTGGATACTAAGTCATAAGTACCTAGTTTTCTACCAGTAATCCATTTATCTGATTAGGGATTTATAGCTTCTTTTCATACACAATGTAGACCTGCATGTCAACTACAGCAAAAAGAATGAGAGGCATTTTGAAACAGCAAAATCTTCACAAATCAAGAAGCCACAGAAGAGAAAATTAATTCAGTTTTTGACATGATTATGACCTCCGAAAAAGGAGCTTTATGTCCTACTTAAGTGGCTACAATTTAGATTGTAGCTAGCTGGATATGGAAATTGAGTAGCTAAACTTTTGTCCAGTTTTGTAAATGTATTGTTCACTTGTAACATGGACTTCCTAGGCAGAAATATTGTTGGGCACCTGACAACTTAGTTTTTCAATCATTAGAAGAGAGTGGACTTAATTCTCTTCCCACTTGCACTCGTGTAAGTCACTGCCACTCCTGTGCACGATGAGGAACTATATGACTGGAGGAAACAAGACTGATTGTGATAAAAGAAAATAATTTACTAACAAATAGATGTTTGCTGTGACGGAGCTCTCATAGCTGTAAGTAGGATTTCAATTATCTCATTCTGGACTATAGTACAGGTGAGATTTTAAGAGCACAAATCCCATTGAATTTCAAAGCCCCCCCGCGCCAAAAATCAAAATCAAAATGTTTTTTTTAACCTACAAGTTGGTTTGATTTTGAATTTCATGATGTGGGAGAAGGAGCCAGCAAAGACCAGCTCTGAATTTTGACCAAGTTAACATTTTAGATGAAGGGCATTATTATGCAGGTAGCGCTGTATGTGTAACACAAGAACCTCTGGATTCCAACTGGCAGGGATCACCAGAAGAATGTGATGGACTCAAAGAGCTCAGACACACACACTGAAAATTATGTTCTTAAGGTCTGTGACTAGCAACTGGTCACAGGTAAAAAGCAGGTTTTCTTTCAGGCACAAAATGTCTGCTTACACTGTAAATTATGAATCATATGGTTCATAATGGACCTCCATTTACTCTGAGCTCAATGCTGAGGAAGGATTGTGAAATCTTCAGAGAGGAAATATACAGGAAGACGTGAACTAGCACTTTATAAAAAGGACAATGAACTTTCGGTGGTATAACTATGGGACACAGGTACATCCTCATTCTTTCCATCTGTGTGGCCAAGCTGCTAGCAAGCTTGTCCTTATGAGACAGGGTCTCAATCACTCTGCTTGAAAATGCTGGGGAAAGGATTTGAGGTAAACGATCTTGTAGGAAATAGGGGAATGCCTTGTAATTAAGTTTTAGTCTCTAGAAAGTGCATTGATTTTGTTTTATATGTAACCATTTTTCTAGTATTCTCATTTTCTATCATGTGAACCTCCTTTGTTTGATAGTAAACCTATGGTTGTTTGCTTCACCCACAGCACTCATGAAAAGTGTTGATTGTGAGTTGAATCTTACAACTTGGTGTGTACTATTCCTTTGGGAAGAGCAGATGTAAGTTCTGTGAGTGTGCAGGGGAACAGAGGCTGAGCATTCCTGAGGGACACTTTGACAGCCCAGTGGATGGCATGGGCCTGTTGCTACCTGTACAGAGTGGGAGGCCAAGAAGGCAGTGCTTGTGTTGCCAGAGGGTAATGATTTTCGGGAGCTGATCCACAGCAGACAGAGACAAGACTTCCTCACACTAAGGGCAGGTAAGTGGCAAGGTGCCTCACAATCATGAAGAACTACAGTATTCATGGTTTCAGAGGAACAGCCGTGTTAGTCTGTATTCGCAAAAAGAAAAGGAGTACTTGTGGCACCTTAGAGACTAACCAATTTATTTGAGCATGAGCTTTCGTGAGCTACAGCTCACTTCATCAGATGTATACCGTGGAAACTGCAGCAGACTTTATATACACACAGAGAATATGAAACAATACCTCCTCCCACCCCACTGTCCTGCTGGTAATAGCTTATCTAAAGTGATCAACAGGTGGGCCATTTCCAGCACAAAGCCAGGTTTTCTCACCCTCCACCCCCCCACACAAATTCACTCTCCTGCTGGTGCTAGCCCATCCAAAGTGACAACTCTTTACATAATCAAGTCGGGCTATTTCCTGCATAGATCCAGGTTTTCTCACATCCCCCCCACCCCCATACACACACAAACTCACTCTCCTGCTGGTAATAGGTCATCCAAACTGACCACTCTCCAAGTTTAAATCCAAGTTAAACCAGAACATCTGGAGGGGGGGGGTAGGAAAAAACAAGAGGAAACAGGCTACCTTGCATAATGACTTAGCCACTCCCAGTCTCTATTTAAGCCTAAATTAATAGTATCCAATTTGCAAATGAATTCCAATTCAGCAGTTTCTCGCTGGAGTCTGGATTTGAAGTTTTTTTGTTTTAAGATAGCGACCTTCATGTCTGTGATTGCGTGACCAGAGAGATTGAAGTGTTCTCCGACTGGTTTATGAATGTTATAATTCTTGACATCTGATTTGTGTCCATTTATTCTTTTACGTAGAGACTGTCCAGTTTGACCAATGTACATGGCAGAGGGGCATTGCTGGCACATGATGGAATTCATGGTGGAATTATACCAGTGTTCATTGGGCAATAAGGCAGAATGGATAACGGCTGCTTAAAACTTCACTAGCTGGATAGATTTAATATAAAAAATGAATTGATATTTCAAAACCCCAGTGCATGCTTCAGAGTTCTGCAGTATTTTTAGGACAGCATTTGGATTAATCTCTTTCTAATTGGATTACTAGCATTTAGGAATAAATATTTTTAAAATAAGACATTCCCATTATTCTGTGAAAGGAAATATAATTACATGTTGGTGAGTGCCAAAGGAGGCTTGCTAAACAAATTCCGCATTACCACTGTCAATATCAGAACTTTGCTCTTCTAAGCACTTGACTGGTTCTGTGCTTACCTCAGGTGCTATGTAGTCTGGGGTACCACAGAAAGTACTTGCTCTGTTCTCTCCAACCATGTTCTCTTTGCACATCCCAAAGTCAGCTATTTTGATGTGGCCTTCTTTATCAAGCATCACATTGTCCAGTTTGAGGTCTCTAGAGGGAAAGGTTAAAAAAAAAACAACAACAAAATTTCAGTATGCTGCTTTGTTGAAAACAAGTGACACACATTACTGCCAGGAAAAGTTAAATTGCCTCTCACCGGGTGAACATACTTATTTTAGTAATTTTGAAAGTATGTTTTCCCCATATTTCTCAGTGCAAGTTATTTATATTGTTAGTAGATCTGGGCAAATAACAGATTTTTTTTATTTGGATGGAACCAAAAATTTATTTCCAAAACTTTCAGCAAATCAGAGAAAAGTTTTCATTTACATTTCAGGAAACTTAAATAAATGTCTTGATTTTTACTGTAATAATTCACCAAGATCTATGCAAATCTCTGAAATATTTCAGTGTTGCTATATCTGCAGTCTTTGCAGAAAAAATTTCACCTGACTGTAAATGTGAATCCAAAAGACAATTTTGTTGTGTCCCCTCACCTCCCCCTCCATGTTTTAACTATTTCCATATTAAGACAATACCTAAGAAGCGAGCGAGGTAAAACTGAAGTTTCTGCAAACATAACCACAGGAGCCACGGCTAGGTGCAGCACTCCTACCATTACTTGCATCTATTATAACTATGAGTTCTTCCCTTTCCCTGTAAACACATGGTAAATTACTATAATCTATTTTTCTATCCTTACCAAGTTTGCCTTTTGCCAAAATCCATTGTGATATTATTACCTAGAAGGAAATAGACTTATGTTCAGGACAATCTCTCCTGGTCCCTGTTTGCATTGGTGGTTGAAGGGAAGAAGTTAAATGTTTGGTACAGAATTACTTATTTATTCCAGAGACTAACAAATTTTATTTGAGCATAAGCTTTCGTGAGCTACAGCTACAGTTGCATCCGATGAAGTGAGCTGTAGCTCACGAAAGCTTATGCTCAAATAAATTGGTTAGTCTCTAAGGTGCCACAAGTACTCCTTTTCTTTTAGCAAATACAGACTAACACGGCTGCTACTCTGAAACTTATTAATTCCACAGACTTACTAACCCACAATTTGCAAGAACTAAAAGACCTGAAAACAGCTACCTTTTACAAATGGCTCACAAATATTTTGTAAGAGTCCCTGCCATAGCATGAAGGGAACAAATCATAGGCAAAGTGTCTGAGGATTTTGGAACAGCAATGTGTACCTTCCAACAACTGTTCTGAAACTACTCCACATGAGAAGCTATTGCCATTGAACAGATGCCTGCACAATGATTAACTGAAACATCCCAGCTCTTCCCTACCCATGTTGCAAAGATGGCATTTATCTTCGTGATTAGCCTTGTTCAGTTTTTCAGACTTCATGTATTAGTATCCTCTGTGGAAATCCTTGGGACGCTAATGAACCACAGAACAGACTTGTGTTCTGTTTTACAGCAGCTCAGTTTGGACTCTACATCTCTGTTTTGTAGCAAATGCACGGATTCTTATTTGTGGCTGGGATTTTCAAAAGTGGTTAGGTGAGCTGGGAACACAGCTCCCTATGAAAGTTAAATTCTTGCCTTCAGTTATTTCCTTCAGGGTTAAAAAATAGTTCCAACTACCTTGTCACCACTTGTATGCTGCCAATAGAAATAGCAATGGCCCTGACATAGCCTCAAATATCTGAACACTTCATGATTTAGTTGTGGCTGAAATGTCAGCCTAGTTTTGTTCAGTTGTGAAGATTATAGACCATAGCATTATTGCTAATTCTGTTCTATAATTCTAGATACTTGCTTTGAAGTCTCTTAGGGCAATAATCTGTATGCCCAGAAACTCACTCAGATTCATTTGTACTAAATTTTGTTTTTGGAAGTTTGGTATGACCAGAATGAGATTTCATCCAAAGTCCAACCAGCTTATACTTGGCGTCTAGTCAGAGATGACTGTACAGCAGCAGGGGGTTGCCCTACACTTCACTGTGACCACTGTAAATTAATGTTAAACACTGTGTTCATGCCGTTTTTCTGAAGTCTTTTTAAATCATTTAACTCTTAATGGTGTGAACATTATTGATGCAGTATCTCCAGGTCTTCAGGAAAAGCATTTACATTTTCTTTGAAGTGTTATGCATTCTTTTGTGCAGCAACACATACCAAGGAAGGCACACTGAACAGCTGCCAACAACCCTGTTACTGACCTATACGGACATGATTAGAGCAGATATTTCACAAGATGACTGGAAATTCTTTTTCTCCCTTGGTGAGTTCCCCAAAGCAGCTGCTAAGATTGTCAAGAGAGGGTGATCTACTGCTCAAGATCATGAAACAAATGTCAGAACTGTCCCTGACCACTCCAGAAGCACATGGTGTGACAGGCTGCACCATTAATCCCTCTCTCCAAGATTGGACATGACCCCCTACCTGTCCCATTGGATTATGGCTGTTGATACATAGACAGAAACATCATTCTCATTTAAATGATTGTTAGTTTACTCCATTAAAATCAAATAACGTTTGAAAATTCACCTGGAATGTGTTCATTCCAGCATCACAAATATTTTAAGTTTGTATTGATTTTTAGGGCTTGTCTACAGGGGAAAATTTACCAACAGAACTTCATTTTGGGTGGGGGCACGTCTTCTAGAATAAGAGTGTGTTTCCACCATTTGTTTTGCTGGTAGATGTCCTCATATAGATAAATCCTTAGGCAGTTAAACAAGGGTTTTTCATTTGATTGTCAAGTGTCTTGGGGTCTCCTTCCATTGCCTTTTCCCATGCCACCTGCACATTACAGCCCTTCTGTGAAGATGCACTGTTGTGGGCTGCCTTAACCACCACCCACTTCCATCAACTACTAGCAAATTTCTGAATTTATACAGGAGATGCACCCCAAATATCCACAGGAAACATACAGTGGAACATTTTCTCCCCTCTGCCTCTTTAAAAAGAGGGGGCCCATCCTCACCCTTTAAGTTTAGCACATAAAGGCTAGTGTTATCAGAACTAGCACCAGCATCACAGCATACAGCTAGTCTTTTTTTCTCCTAGGTACATGACTAAATATAGGCAAGTGTACATATATGCTGAAGCGGGGTATTACATAGTAACTTAAGTCTTAACCTTTGCTGCCTCTTACTTTTCTGTTTCAATAGGGGAAAGAGGTGACAGTTTGATCTCAGCAGTACCAGGCAATGGAGTTACACCATATTTACCCAATTGCATTTGAGATCAGAATGTAGCCCACAAGGTCTAAACACAGTTTGAAGAATTTGGACATCTGCAAGCTCATTTCTGACTTGAAGTTACAGCCCAGGAAGCAGTGTCTCTCTCCTTATTTCCTAGAGACGGCAGCAGCAGAGAGCTTTAGCTGCAGTGCTTTTCACAAAGAAGTCAACAGAAATAAACACAGCCTCAAGGGACCTCTAAATCTCCATTACCACCAACATAAAGTCAAACTGTCTCAGTCTGAATACGGTGCTTGGCAATAACTAATGTGAAACAAAGACACTTCTGTGTAATGTAAATAATTATTTCATTATTCTTGTTGCCAAGGAGAAAACACGAGAAAACAATTATAGATTCATCTCAAGTACTTGCTGAATTCCATCTTAAACATTTGATTTTATTCCAAGGGTATTAATAAAGAACTGTTCCTTGTATATGTCCTGGTTGTAGGTTAATCACAGAATCCACTAATACATCACAAGAAATATACCAAGTGTCAAGGGCCCCATATCAGAGGTGCTCACTACTCACCTATAAATAATGCCTTTGCTATGAAGAAATTGTAAACCGCATACTATTTCAGCTCCATAAAACCTGAAATAGAGCAACAACACTTCAAACTGGCTTCCTTAGTTAAACAAGACATTTACTACATTGTGAACACAACTAAGAAAACCAGTTTTTTTATGAAAGATGAATAGTACTGTAAGTTTACATAACCATTATGGGGGAGGGAGGGGAAAATCCCATGTATTTAGTTTTTGCATCATTACCCTGTATAGCTTGTAATATGGACGTAATGCAGTATTGAATACTGTTACTTGTGAATTACTGTATGTAATAAAACTGCAGTTAAAATTAATCTCTCATATCTGCCATATCTTTCCAAGGAATGGGGCCTGACAGTTTACAATATCACTTTGGTATCTCTCCTGAAAGCTACAAGGTTTTTATTATAACACTACTATTCAGTTCTATACACACAACTCCAAACATTATGGAAGATAGCAACTTCCTTTTCTTGATGCTTTGCTTCCACCATGGAACACTGTTCCTGATCTAACCTTTAATCTTCCTTTACACACTTGGAGAGGTGCATAGCTGAGCTTCAAGAGGCAACAGTAAAGAATAAAAAGTCAGAGTCCAGGAATCTCATGGGATCACCTTAAAACGGATGGGGTTCTTCATGCGAGAGAACATTACACCCCATCCTTCAATAGTAAACCTGACTATAAAAGAAGTCAGTGAAATAAAGGTAGAGCTGAACAAAGCCAAACACCTTCCTTCAGCATTCACCAAAATATCTGTGCCTGGGATTTTTGTTGAATTTTACTTAGATTTTGAATGGAAAGACCATGTCTGATGAACCTGAGTTTAAATTGCGGAGAAAACCAGCCTTAAGACATTACACAAGAGGCTGTGGTTTAACAGAGGTTGGTCTTGTAAGACAGACAAAACAGAACTGTAGACAGTTTGGGGATACCCTAGGGTGTTCTCTTAATGAAAGTGGCCTCCTGTAAAGTTTGTTGGGAGGGCTCACTGCTGTTTGGGGAAACTGGAGTTGGATCAAACTCTGATCCTAGCAGTACACTCAGAATCTGGACAGGAGGGAGCTCTGTCTCTGTTGTCCATGTGGCCTCCGCTGGCAGTCCTAAAAGTAGGATGTGCCAGTTTAACATGGAGTTTTTGAAGGGGGGAGGAAGAGAATAAAAGGATCCCTTCAAGCTTCCCATGCCCCCTCCCTTTTGTGAAGAGCTATACTGAATAATTTTAAAACCCAGCTGCCAACTTGTTTTCATTCCTGAAACAAGATGCATCTGGCAACCAACCCAGAGCTTCTGAAAAACACACTGTGGAAAGAGATACTCTCCATATCCTGCACACTAACCTACTGTTCAAGTAAAAGTAATTTGAGAAGCTCTCTTATGGAAAGCAATACAAGTAACATGACTGGATAGCTAGGCATGAGAGCGAATGCTTCAAGGTGGGGTCCTTCTGTTGTAAATCCATCTTGGACTTTGCCCCACAGCCTTTTATGCCAAAACTCTGTGATGAAATGAAACTTGATATTTGTTAATACAGCACATAATAATTTACATGTAATCCCAAACTGCATATAATCAAGTCCATCGCTAGGCTTTTTTAATTTTTACAGTGTCACACACAGATTAAACGTTTACCCAATGCCCTTCCCTGTTAAAATTTTTGCACACCCTAAATTTAATGAAGACAATAAAAGGACAAGTGCCTTTTTAAAACCTGTTTTGCAGAAGGTGTCTAATATCTACCAATCCTGCTGCCTAAAGTTTCATACGATTAGTTGCTCAATGTGCCCACAAATGATCCATAATCACTACTAAAATATGAATGAGTTCTTCTGTGATTTTTTTTTTCATTGCTAGTCTCAGCTAAGAGCACAGGAAGCATTTGTATCTAATCAGTCTCCTTTTGTTAAACACTCAGAAGAGAAATTACATTTTTTTGAAGTTTAAACAAAGAATAAGTGGATACCATACTCTGATGCACCAGCCAGTTAGCTTGGTGTTTTTATTCTGCTAATTTTTGGGCCTTAAGATAATAAATGAAGTTTGCACTTTAAATTTGGCTTGGAGCATGAGGTAGAGCTGTGGGAAATTCTGACATCTCTTTTCACTCCAAATCAGGACAAGAAGTTGAAATTTATAAAAAAAAATATATTTCAGAACAGAAATTTCAGAATTTTTTTTTATTGAACTGAATCTAAAAATGAACCATTACAGGTCAGTTTAATAAAACAGAATGTTTGAATTCTGAAAGATTTCATTTTGATTTTCCCAATGGAAATGCTTGAAGGGAAGGCAGAAAATGTTTGGATTCTAATCTGCCAAGTAAGAAGAGTGTCTCCATGTACCATATCAAGTTTGCAACACAAGGCACCCTAATTCATCAATGGTTACTTGTTTTTACTATGCCAATCAAATAGAAAATTGAAGGGGGAAACTTATTTTTCTCACACACAGGAGTTCAATATATAAGGATGTAGGCCCAGAGTCTAGCACAAGACACTATTCTAATAGGAAAATTGCATCTGAAGCACTGCTAAGAAACATAATTCACATTCTGCAGCTTCTTTCTGGTCTAGAAATGGCTTATTAAGTTCCCTTGGCTATTTGACGTAATCAAATCCAACTCTACAAAGGAAATTAAAAGAAGGATAAGAACATTTTCCTGTGCCACCACGCACCACCAGTCCATTATTACAGAAGGTCATTCAGTATATGGAACAAACTCTTCCAAATATGTCTTGACTATTCACCCAATTAAACAGATTGGCTGAAATCGCTAGGTCCTTTAGAACTATAAGCAGTAAAAACTAACAAAACAAAAAACTAACAAAAACAAAACTAAAAAACAAAAACCATGAACTGTTCTCTCAGCACAGCTTGTCCAAGATGCATTTTTTTGTTTAAATCTTATTTTAAAAACTCCAAGAAAAGCAAGTAGCAAAGTAGCTCACTTATTTGGGACTTACGTTGCTCTGAAGAGATCAAAGCGCCCCTTGTCCTGTATGTGGAACATCAGGTCCCCTCCGTTCAAGAACTCCATAACAAAAAACAGATGATCCTATTTACAAAGCAGGAAAGAACACAAAATTAACTTGCTTATGCAATTGTGACCCAGTATGGAGGTGCTGCTTCCCTCTGACCAAGAAAAGGACTAAGAAGTGATGAGGGAGAGGGGAAGTTGGCAAATGGCTTTTATGGAATGGTCTTTGACTTTCCCAGCATGCACAAGCTTTTCCCTCCTGCTCACACCCCCACAAAAATGAAGAGTCCCACTGCTACAGATTTCATTAGCTCAGTGACATCCTATGTGTCTTATTTTCATAGTTCATGTGCTTACAGGTCAGATATGAATGTACATTTTAATGAATCTTCCATTTGTGCTTCCCTTAACTTATGTGAGTCATCATCTTAGATCATGTAATCCAGGAAGAAACCAGTAATTGAAGTGTTTAAATTAAAACTCCTCTCTCTGGCTGTAGACTTTGTAAATGTTGTTCTGTGCCAGTCTGATTTAGTATTATTTTATACCCACTTTGCACAAACTCCTACCCAAAGTGGAAGGCAGGGAAGAATCAGAGCCAATACCTCCAGTCAATTAAAACACATTTCACTCATGCAGAGAAACAGATTGGTCACTAATCCATTTTGCTTTGTTACTGATACCAGTATTCCCATAAAGGCAAAAGTTGAATCTGTACTATACCTTAGTCTGAAATGTGCAGTAGAGGTGAGTAAGAAATGGGTTTTCCCATGCAAGTGCTAGGACCCGCTTTTCCACCATGGTACATTCCACGTCATCATCGATTAGCACCACATCCTTTTTCAGAGCTTTAATAGCAAAGAATTCATTCTTCCCTTTCAGTTCAGCAAGCAGAACCTGCAAACACAGGAAGACTTCAAGGCATATGTAAGAAAAGTTGATTTAGCTAATGCTGCTAATCAGCAGAGGAGGATTTTAGGACCAGGCATTTAAAGAAGGTTGCATAGCACTACAAAAAAGTTATTAAAAAATAGGGAGATTCACACCACCCCTCTATAACCCCTCAGCCCAAAGGCAAAGCTAATGGATTTTATGATTTTATTGGGGGTTGGACTAGATGACCTCCTGAGGTCCCTTCCAACCCTGATATTCTAGGATTCTATGATGGGGTGCATCACAGAAATTGTGGTGTACCAGCCCAAACAGGTGGCAAAATGTAGGACATCTGTGCAGCTCCTCTGTTGCAATCACTTGAGCTCATGGACTAGAAGAAAGGACATGAACCCTGTTCATCCCTTTGAGATTTTTCTTAGTTGGGTTATTTCACAGATGCAGCAAACGGCCATGTCCAAAATCCCCCCTCCTTGTGGGCCTATGTAAGGCTAGCATAGAACTCAGCTCCACCATAGACAGAGGACATGGAGTCACTCCTGCTCTGCAGCAACCCTGCTTCTGTCCAACTCAACCATGGTGGTTCCACTGCACTGGGGTGCTCTGTAGCCACAGCTATGTTGTGCATATGAGTGCATGGCATTGTTTCATACTGTAGAGCATAAAGGCGTATGCATCTTTTTGGATATTAAGGGAAGAAATCAAGAAACAAAGGGCTGGGAGGTAGTGCATCATAGATCCTTTTTTAAGTTCCAACACTGCTCTTGGTTGGTTGCAATTTTACAGGGTTGGGACTTTTTATGCCTGAGGCTCAGATGATCACAATCCATTCCATTAGCAGTAACAGTTTCACAACAAAGGGTTAATAAAACTCTCTCCCCACAAAATGAAGATTGTTTGCTTAAGTGAAATTAGCCCATAACACTTCAGAATAAAAGGCAAATCAACTTAAGTGCTTCCCATTTGTTACGCACCTTTCCAAAGCTTCCTTTCCCTAGTACTTTGTGAAAGATAAAGCTGTCTATGGTGAATTTTCTCCTGGTTCGTGAAGCTGGTCTTGGTGTACTTCCCTCCCAGAGCTTATCATACTCGCTGTTATCTGCTAATGCAAACCATGATTTTTAAATTCAGCATAGGCAATTTTCATGACAGAGATTCCTATAGTTTCTGACTTTTGACTGCCAATAGTTCATCAAATCTGCTGCTGACACTGGTGACCATAAACATGAGGACCTTACAAAGAAGCTAAATCATTCAAATGGAGTTAAAATTTTTGGTCTAAGTCTGGGATTTTACTAAAAACCTGACATTTTACTAAATCCATATTATGCTCAAAGGCCATGAGCATCCACTCTGCCCAAAGAATGCAAGGCATTCTTGTTTAGGGGGAGGGTATTTGTTAACGGCCGCTTTAAACCATCTTCTCTGATCCTGGGTCTGTTGTGT